ATGCCACTGGTTCTTCACGTTCTGCAGATGTAGATGCCACTGGTTCTTTATGTTCTGCAGATGTAGATGCCACTGGTTCTTTATGTTCTGCAGATGTAGATGTCATTGGTTCTTCAGAGGGGTTTATCACGTAAACAAAACGTGACAATTCGTTACTAGTACAGCACTAACCGGTTGTTTGTTGGAGAGTAAACCCACTACAACGTTTACAATTATAGTGTAGTGTATAGTGTAGTGTATGGTGTAGTGTATAGTGTAGTGTATAATGTAGTATACTAGTTCAGCACTAACCAGTTGTGTGTTGGAGAGTACATCCACAACATTTACAATTATAGTTACGTGTATAGAGTAGTGTATAGTGTAGTGTATAGTGTAGTGTATAGTAGTGTATAGCGTAGTGTATAGTGTAGTGTATAGTAGTGTTTAGTCTAGTATACTAGTTCAGCACTAACCAGTTGTGTGTTGGAGAGTATATCCACAATATTTACAATTATTGTGTAGTGTATAGTGTGGTGTATAGTGTAGTGTATAGTTGTGTATAGTGTAGTGTATAGTGTAGTGTATAGTAGTGTAAAGTCTAGTATACTAGTTCAGCACTAACCAGTTGTGTGTTGGAGAGTATATCCACAACATTTACAATTATAGTGTAGTATATAGCGTAGTGTATAGTGTAGTGTATAGTAGTGTATAGTGTAGTATACTAGTTCAGCACTAACCGGTTGTGTGTTGGAGAATACATCCACAACATTTACAATTATAGTGTAGTGTATAGTATAGTGTATAGTGTAGTGTATAGTATAGTGTATGGTGTAGTGTATAGTGTAGTATATAGTAGTGTATAGTGTAGTATATTAGTTCAGCACTAACCGGTTGTGTGTTGGAGAGTACATCCACAACATTTACAATTATAGTGTAGTGTATAGTGTAGTGTATAGTGTAGTGTATAGTATAGTGTATGGTGTAGTGTATAGTGTAGTATACTAGTTTAGCACTAACCGGTTGTGTGTTGGAGAGTACATCCACAACATTTACAATCATAGTGTAGTGTATAGTATAGTGTATGGTGTAGTGTATAGTGTAGTGTATAGTGTAGTGTACTAGTTCAGCACTAACCGGTTGTGTGTTGGAGAGTATATCCACAACATTTACAATCATAGTGTAGTGTATAGTATAGTGTATAGTGTAGTGTATAGTGCAGTGTATAGTGTAGTGTATAGTGTAGTGTATAGTGTAGTGTACTAGTTCAGCACTAACCGGTTGTTTGTTGGAGAGTATATCCACAACATTTACAATTATAGTGTAGTATATAGCGTAGTGTTTAGTGTAGTGTATAGTAGTGTATAGTGTAGTATACTAATTCAGCACTAACCGGTTGTGTGTTGGAGAGTACATCCACAACATTTACAATTTGAGTACCGTCAAGTTTCGCTGGTGGGGCGGTGGCAGGTTTAACGGCACAGCTGTAGATCTACCCCAAGAATCTGATTCTTTTGATCATATTGCTCACGGAAGCCTCCTTCTTGTCACACTTTCCTGGCTCCCGCCCAGCAGAAGTCTCCGGCCCCACTGATTGGATGACAGCAGCGAAGCCGCAGCCAATCAGACACCAATCAACACTCCGCCCACAGTGTGTCAGGATATTGCAACCACTGTACTGTAGAGGCGATCGCGTTTGATTTCCGATTCAGCGGGAGCGCACACGTATTTTGTTCGGGCTAAGCACGCGTGTGTTCCTCGTAATGAACACGTCCAAGAGAACCAAAGCGTATCACGGTTGTCGAGATTATTAACTTTGGGCTTAAGGGAACAAGCTCACGAGTTTTTTTATTGCGTGTCAAGATCTCAACGTCGGTGCGGATCAGACGAAGCCACACGCAGACAACCCGCCACCTTGCTACATATTTTATGTATACATACAGAGTTACAAAGTTAATGTTTAAACGGAGCTTATGTATTATTTCTTTGTTGAGTTTATCACCAGGTCGATGATAAGGTGGGCGTGATGGGATGGGCGGTTGTGCAGGCAGACAGCTTCATCAGCACTACGTTTCTACGTTATATATACATCGTAAAATTACACGTTGCTAATTTAATCTCTTGAATTTTGGATGTGATTATGTTGGCGCTGCGTGGCTCATTTATAACAGGCAATCTGACACACACAAACACACACAAATTCTCGAGTCACTCAATCACTCACCAGCCCATCAACTCGCAGCAAAGATAAAGATCCCCCGTGTAGCCTTAACAGGCTGTATGGGGCAAGTGCTGTTCGTGAGCACCTATGAAGGCCGGCACCGTGGCACACGAGGGGAGTGGGTGGTCAGCAACCACGCCCGGACGCCTTTGTCTCCCCAGTGGCGATGTTTACTACACATCGCACCAGGTACTTATTTGAGGCTGAGTCGACCTAGGGGAGGCCCCGCCACTGGTTTAGATATTCCTCACCAATCTTGGCTGTGAGCAGGAATCGAACTCAGGTCGACGGGTTCGTAGCGCAGCGCGGGAACCACTACACAGCCACCCACTCACCCACCCACTCACCCACCCACTCACCCACCCACTCACCCACCCACTCACCCACCCACTCACCCACCCACTCACTCCAGCACTCACACACTCACCCACGCAATCAACTCAATGAAGATCAAAGTCATGCTAGCCATTACCCGCTTCGACCATGAACGTATAAACAAACATACACCTGGCTTGAATCACTCACCCACCCACCCATTAACTCACCTACCCATCCACTAACCCACCAATCTACCCACCCACTAATCCCTACACCCACTCAACCACCCATTCACTCACCCACCCACTCAACAACCCACACACTCACCTACCCACTCACACACTAACCCAATCACACACTCATACACTAACCCATACACCCACTCAGCCACCCACCCACTCACCCACCCACTCACACACTCACCCAATCAGCCATACACCCACTCAACCACCCATTCACTCACCTACCCACTCAACAAACCACCCACTCAACGACCCACTCACACACTAACCCAATCACACATAAACCCATACACCCACTTAACCACCCACCCACTCACTTACCCACCCACTCACCCACCCACCCACTCACACACTCACCCAATCATACACTCAGCCATACACCCACTCAGTCATACACCACTCACCTACCCAGCCACCCACTCGCACACTCACCCATACAACGACTCAACTACCCACTCACCCACACACTCACCCACCCATTCACCCACCCACTCACCCACCCACTCACCCACCCACCCACTCACCCACCCACTCACTCGACTACCCACTCACCCACCCATTCACTCGACTACCCACTCACCCACCCACTCAACTACCCACCCACTCAACCACCCACTCACCCACCCACTCACTCACCCACTCACCCACCCACCCACTCACCCACCCACTCACTCACCCACCCACTCACCCACGCATTCACCGACCCACTCACCCACCCATTCACTCGACTACCCACCCACTCACCCACCCACTCACTCGACTACCCACTCACTCACCGACTCACACGCGTGACTTGCCGCGTGTTCTAGCACGTTGGTTCGCGTGTTCATTCACGACAACAACAATGACAGTAGTAACAATGACACACACACGAGACACACCACACATTGATAACAAACACAAACATGAACACAACGTTAGGGCCAATCATACCCCCCCCCCCTTCTTCACAGCTCCCTGCGTCTCAACCCCGGCGACTCCGCAGTGAGTCGCGTGCCTGGTGCGGTGTGGGCGTCATGGGGACACGTGTCAGCTGCACGCGTCAGACGCACTCGCATCGATCCACTCCGACCGCTCGAACTCGATCTTGATATTTCAGCAACCGACGAGAGCCTCCACTCAGCTGCGCGGCTCTTTTTCAATTCACAAATGATTGCAGCTCAGCGAAGTGGGATGATCATCATAATGGGTCTTTGTGTGTGAGTCTGTGGGTCTCTGTGTGAGTCTATGGGTCTCTGTGTGAGTCTGTGGGTCTGTGTGAGTCTGTGGGTCTCTGTGTGAGTCTATGTGTCTCTGTGTGAGTCTGTGGGTCTGTGTGAGTCTGTGGGTCTCTGTGTGAGTCTATGGGTCTCTGTGTGAGTCTATGGATCTCTGTGTGAGTCTGTGGGTATGTGTGAGTCTGTGGGCCCATCCCGTGACCTCCTGCACCTAGTCTGGCACAGCAGTCAACCAATGGTACCTGGCTGGGTCCGTCCCGTGACCTCCTTCGACACTCCACGTAGCCTCAAAGTGCACCTAGCCTGGCACAAGCACCGCGGTGACGGTGGTGGTGGTCATGGAGCAGCATAGCGGTCCTGGGCCTCCCCTAGGTCGACTCAGCCTCAAAGTGAGCACCTCGGTGCGGTGTGTAGTAAACATCGCCACTGGGGAGACAAAGGCGGCCGGGCGTGGTGTTGGCCACCCACCCCCTCGTGTGCCGTGCCGGCCTTCATAGGTGCTGCTCGCTAACAGCACTTGCCCCTACAGTCTGTTAAGGCTACACGGGGGATCTTTGTCTTTGTTGTTGATGGAGCGCCCTGAGCGGCCCAAGCGCGTCTTGCACTATCATCATCGTCATCGTCACGTGGCATCACAAACGTGTGAAAGGGCACACCCAGTGGCAGCTGTAGTTTGAAAATTATTTCCAATTTGAGTTGCGGTTTTTGTTGTTGTTTATGTTGTTGTTTATGTTGTTGTTGTTACAATTATAGTGTATAGTGTAGTGTATAGTATAGTGTATAGTATAGTGTATAGTGTAGTGTATAGTGTAGTGTATAGTGTAGTGTGTAGTGTAGTGTATAGTGTAGTATAGTGTATAGTGTAGTGTGTAGTGTAGTGTGTAGTGTAGTGTATAGTGTAGTGTATAGTGTAGTATACAGTGTAGTGTATAGTGTAGTGTATAGTGTAGTGTGTAGTGTATAGTGTAGTGTATAGTGTAGTGTATAGTATAGTATGTTGTTACAAAATAAAGTCTGGGACGTTCGTCATTGCCAAGGTCATTATATTTATTTGAATCAGCAAGATACAGCACAGGAACTCCAAGCATTGCAAAAGGCTTAACAGCTTAGAATCTTCGAAGTGAACTCCTCGTCTTTGATCTACGCCTTCTGTGGTTGATACCACTTATTGATTTGCTTGTTCAATGTTTGGGTTTTTTACATTTTCTCACGCTTTCATTGACGGCACTTTAATGTCACAAATCATCGTCTGCCATGAATGGCATTCAGCGCACCCACCACTCAATGCGATTACTCGACATAATGCCTTTGTACAGCTCCATGATGTGTGTGCATTGAACTGCAATTAGCATGAATGCCACTACAGATTGTATATAGATGTAGGGGTGTTAGGAAGAGAGCCCGTTATGCATGGCAGCTTATGGCAAACAAACACAGTGGGCGGGGCTACGTGAGTGCACGGGGAGGTGCCCTCTACGACGTCCGCGCCAGGCAGCCTGGGGGGGTTGATTCGGAGTTATGATCCCCCGGGGCCCCACCCCTCAGCGGAGGTTGAGTATAAAAGGGGATGTGTCGGAGGGCTCGGGGAAAATGTTAAGCTAACGAGGGAAGACTGAAGACGTCTTAGCTAGAGCCCTGGACTCCCCTGGTTCGCCGTCCTTATCAGGGCCGAACAGGACCGAGCCAGCGGCGTGGTCCCGAGAGCCAGAGCCGGTGCTCTTGTCAGAGCTGGTCTGGGACTCAGGGTACCGGGCCCGACTTACCAGTGTCGGGCCAGATAGCCTCCCCTAGCCCGTTAGTGGAGGACTAGGAGGCAGGCTAGGAGTAGCTAGCGCGTGTATCCCCAGCTAGCCGGGTGAGGGGGCCGACACCCCCTCTAGTGTTGTATGCCACAACCGTGCTGTGTGAAATAAACCCGTGTGCCTCCAACTCCGGCGTCCAAGAGTCGTGAACTCTACTACATATATATGGAGATATATTTCTAACCGAGATGACTACTGATTGATGTTGTTGTCGTTGTTGTTATTGTGGATAAGCCGGATTGGCGTTACAGGAATTTGGGCTCCTTTACCCAACACTACTGTCATTGTTACTACTGCGGAAATTGGTGAGTGGTGGTGAGGGTCAGGTGAGTTGACTGGTGAGTGGTGGTGAGGACCAGGTGAGTTGACTGGTGAGTGGTGGTGACGCCTGCTGTTGCTGCTGTATATTTGGAGTCTGCGTCTCTCTCACCGTGATCACTGCGTGGATTTTGTCTCTGGGTCCCTCCGAATGTTTCGGGCTGCTGCTACGAATGTCCACGTGACAGGGACTATGATGACGATGATGACGACTATGATGACGACTATGATGACGATGTCAAACCTGCTATCATTTGTGGTGGCCAGGGGTCGCGTCTGAAAAACGTAGTGTCTGGTTAGAAAATAAAATATTGTGAAAGAGAGTTGCGGTGTTTTTAGTTGAGTTCAGTGATTAACCGTCAGGAAGAAACAGGCCTGGGCCCAGCTACGAAGAGTTTGCAATGCTTGGCACTGCCATAACAATTTAGATTTCTCTATATTCCTTTGCTTTGCTTAATATTAATATAGATTTTTGTTAAAACTTTTCTCTCTCGAGTGCCATCTTCGTGTCGTTGTCGTTGTTTCCGTGTTGTAAGCGTTTGCTGTCGGGCGCGCGTGGTTCCCACTAGACGCACGGCATTGTAGCCAGCCTGCGGGGAGAGACGAGACACACAGCGTCACGAACACAACATGCCGCATGGTGTTGTTGGTGTTGTTGTTGTTATGTCTAGGGAGGGGACCTGCATTATTATTGTTATCTTAGCCAGTATCACAAGATTCGCAAAGGATCAAATGCCACTCTTTGCCGGCAAGACGTCCGGACGCCAGGTTTGTGCGTGCGAACGTGCACGCTGAACTTCTTTAGGAGTGTAGTGTATAGTGTAGTGTAAAGTAGTGTAGTGCATAGTGTAGTGTATAGTAGTGTAGTGTATAGTGTATAGTAGTGTAGTGTGTAGTGTATAGTGTAGTGTATAGTAGTGTAGTGTACAGTAGTGTAGTGTATAGTGTAGTTTATAGTAGTGTAATGTATAGTGTAGTGTATAGTGTAGTGTATAGTGTAGTGTAAAGTAGTGTATAGTGTAGTGTATAGTAGTGTAGTGTATAGTAGTGCAGTGTATAGTAGTGCAGTATATAGTAGTGTAGTGTATAGTAGTGTAGTGTATAGTAGTGTAGTGTATAGTAGTGTAGTGTATAGTGTATAGTGCAGTGTATAGTAGTGTAGTGTATAGTGCAGTGTATAGTAGTGCAGTGTATAGTAGTGTAGTGTATAGTAGTGTAGTGTATAGTGTAGTGTATATTAGTGGTGTATAGTCTAGTGTATATCAATCACACCCCCCCCCCGCCCCGTGACCCCATCGCCAGCGTGCGCTGTGCCGCGTTGGCGATGCGGTTTACAAAATGCGCTAACCGCGGCGCCTCCGCTCGCTCACCCGGTGGTGTAGGTGGCCACGAAGGCTCCGACCGAGTCGACGGCGTCGCTGATGAAGGTGAAGGTGATGGAGCTGCCGGTGCTGAGGATGGCGGGCGGGATGGCGGCGCCGCACAGCGTCGTGCGGGGCGCGACCAGGGTCGCGTTGCTGTCGTAGACTATCAGGTAGTCGCCGGACGAGCCGCATGGGGCCAGTCCGTTCAGGCTGTAGGGGTAAGGGGGGGGGTTGTTTTCAGTTTTTCAGTTTTATTAATTAGGTACGAGCTTTATACTACCCGGCTTCGCCCGGGACTTGGATTCACCACGCCCGGCCGCCTTTGTCTCCCCAGTGGCGATGTTCACACACTGCACCAGTTACTCGCTTGAGGCTGAGTCGACCTAGGGGAGGCCCAGGACCGGTTGAAATAATCGTCACCGGTGGTGGCCGTGAGCGGGAATCGAACTCGGGTCGCCGAGTTCGTAGCGCAGCGCGCTACCCACTACACAATGCGTTACGCTTCCACATGCACGGGTCATGTGACATAGATGTGACGTCACAGCTCACTTGCCGTGCAAAAAATATGCATTATTAAGCCCCCCCCCCAAAAAAAAAACACAAAAGTGTATTTGTATAATGTTTGCATGGTGTACACTCTGGAAAGTACCCACATGGTAAATTTCAAGTTTGTTGCATGTCGGGAAGTACGCTAAACTTTTTGAACAGACACATATAATCACACCTTTGCCTTCTATATATATAGATAACCCTGTGAGCCATGCGGCTCTTGAATGGGGTGCAACCGCAACAAACAAAAAAACTAAAACACGAACAAGAAAACATCTTAAAGTGACTATGTGACTGAGTGCAAACAGAAGATCCAGGATTAAACAGCAAGATATTGCAGAAAAAGCACCGTACACCCACGCTGTGTGCAAAAATCCCAGTTGGATGCAAGTCAAACAACAACCACCACAAGACAACTTAGATTAAGGCTTCATTCTAACTCTGTACTACAACAAACAAACATGGCAAAAAACAAAAATGTTTTCGAAATCACAAAAATAAAGCCATAAAAGCAATGCAACAGTGATCATAGGAACTGTGACCCGTTGAGATGTCTTCCTCAATCTCGATTTGAAGCTTTCGTGACTGCAGGAATCCATACCCTTAGGTTCTTTTGGTAAAGTCACGTGGGTAGAAATGAAATAGAATAAAACAAACCGCGACGATTCGATCGCAACACAAGTAGCAATCCTCATCAGGTGGAACAACCACAGCAAGAAAACATTGCTGAAGTTGGCGTGACTTTACCGAAAGAACCAAAGAGTTTGTGTTCTTCAATGAGGCGGAGACAGTGGCCCGGCTATGAGATGTTAACTACCTCGCCTGGTGTACAGGAGGTCGTGGGTTCGATCCAGAGCCTGACGATGCCTGCTGCTGTATATTTGGAGTTTGCGTGTCTCTCTCTCATCATCATCATCACGGTGGCTAGGAGATGTTAACTACCTCGCCTGGTGTACAGGAGGTCGTGGGTTCGATCCCGCCCCTGACAATGCCTGCTGCTGCTGCTGCTGTATATTTGGAGTTTGTAGTGTCCCTCTCTCTCTCTCTCCCCGTGGAAGCGTGGATTTGTCTCTGTGTCCTCCGGTTTTTTTCCCCTCCACATTTAGAATCAAACGTCACCGCGCGTTCAGATGGTTTGGGTGCTGTAGATGTCGACGTGGTGATGATGCCTTAACTGGTAAGATACAAAATAAAGTAGTCGCTTGTTTCGTGTTCAGATGAGGATCACTCCACCACACCACCACCCCACCACCACCCCACCACACCACCACACCACCGCTCCACGTAGGTGAAAGGAGCTCACAATTGAGAAACAAGAGAGAGAGACGGAGACAGACAGAGACACAGAGACAGACACAGAGACAGACACAGAGACAGACACAGATACAGACACAGAGACAGACGAGAGAGGGTGAGATTTAAAAACAAATTAGAACCGGTGGACTCACCTGAAGGAGGTGAACTTGGTGCAGATGAACTTGCCGGCGCGCGTGATGGTGACGGTGAGGTTGGCGTTACTCGCGAACGTGGTCGCGGTCTCGTTGGGAGCCATGAAGCCTCCCGAGGCGGCGGTGAGCGACAGCCTCCGGCGGTAGACTGCGGACGGGAGAGAGACACGTGGTCACGGCGCGGCCATTGCTGGTGGTGGTGGTGGGGAGTGGTGGTGGTGGTGGGGAGTGGTGGTGGTGGGCGGTGGTGGTGGTGGTGAGTGGTGGTGGTGAACGGTGGTGAACGGTGGTGGTGATGAGTGGTGGTGAGCGGTGTTGAGTGGTGGTGGTGGGGAGCGGTGGTGATGGTGGAGAGCGGTGGTGAGCGGTGGTGGTGGTGGTGGTGAGCGGTGGTGGTGGTGGTGGTGGTGGTAGTGAGTGGTGGTGAGCAGTGGAGAGCGGTGGTGAGCGGTGGTGGTGGTGGAGAGCGGTGGTGAGCGGTGGTGGTGGTGGTGAGTGGTGGTGGTGAGCGGTGGTGGTGGTGGAGAGCGGTGGTGAGCGGTGGTGGTGGTGGTGAGTGGTGGTGGTGAGCGGTGGTGGTGGTGGTGAGCGGTGGTGAGCGGTGGTGGTGGTGGTGAGTGGTGGTGGTGAGCGGTGGTGGTGGTGGTGAGTGGTGGCGGTGGTGGTGGTGCCGGTGGTGGTGGTGAGTGGTGAGTGGTGGTGAGCGGTGGTGGTGAGCGGTGGTGGTGGTGGTGGTGAGTGGTGGTGAGCGGTGGTGGTGGTGAGTGGTGGTGGTGAGCGGTGGTGGTGGTGGTGTCCGCGTACAGGAGGTGTAGCTGCACTGGAAGCCCGTGTCGAGCCCCGTGCCCGAGTTGTAGTAGTCGAGCAGGAGGACGTTGGCTGAGCTGAGCGCCGGGGCGGTGAGCGCCTTGCACACCTTCTTGGTGGACGTGGCGGAGAGCGCGAGGCTCATGTTGGCGTAGGTGCACAGCCCCGCGTCACCAAACCTGCGGGCGTGGGGACCGGGCGGGACAGTCGGATGGACAGTCAGACAGATGGACAGACGGATGGACAGTCAGACAGATGGACAGTCGGATGGACAGTCAGACAGATGGACAGACGGATGGACAGTCGGATGGACAGTCAGACAGATGGACAGTCGGATGGACAGTCAGACAGATGGACAGACGGATGGACAGTCGGATGGACAGTCAGACAGATGGACAGTCGGATGGACATTCAGACAGATGGACAGTCGGATGGACAGTCGAACAGATGGACAGACGGATGGACATTCAGACAGATGGACAGACGGATGGACAGTCGGATGGACAGTCAGACAAGTGGACGGATGGATGGACAGACAGATGGACAGACGGATGGACAGTCGAACAGATGGACAGACGGATGGACATTCAGACAGATGGACAGACGGATGGACAGTCGGATGGACAGTCAAACAAGTGGACGGGTGGATGGACAGACAGATGGACAGGTGGATGGATGCACGGATTGACGGACAGACGCACGGACAGACGGACGAGACGCGCGCACGCCCGTGCGTGTAGAACTCACAGCACTGATCCGCAGGTCATGTTGACGCGGTAGAACAGGGGCAGCGTGATGTTCCACGTGCACGTCTCGGACACCGCGAAGCCGATGTAGGGGTAGCCCGGAGACGCGATGGAGTCCGACAGCAGGGACATGCTGCCTCCACACTCTGTGAGAGAGAAGGGAGAGGGAGCAAAGAGCTTTGTAGCTCATCGGATTCGCTGCCAGAATTAAATCGGATTGATCCTGAACGGCAGGAGTAGCAGCAGCAGCAGTCACACGGAGAGAGAGACGAGTCGTAACTCCCCCCCACCACCACCCCCCCCCCCCATCACCACCTCCACCACCACCACCCCCACCCCCACCACCACCCCCACCACCACCCCCACCACCACCATCCCCACCCCCACCACCCCCACCCCCACCACCCCCATCACCAACTCCATCACCACCCACACCACCACCCCCACCACCCCCATCACCAACTCCATCACCACCCCCACCACCACCCCCACCACCACCACCACCATCCCCACCCCCACCACCACCACCACCACCCTCACCACCACCCCCACCACCACCACCACCATCCCCACCCCCACCACCACCACCACCTCCACCCCCACCACCCCCACCCCCACCACCACCCCCACCACCCCCACCACCCCTACCACCACCCCCCCACCACCACCACCCCCACCATCCCCACCCCCACCACCACCTCCACCCCCACCACCCCCACCCCCACCACCACCCCCACCACCCCCACCACCCACCACCCCACGTGACTCACTCATGCAGGCGCTCTCGTTATCCAGCAGCACGTAGCCCACGTGGCACTGGCAGGCGAAGGAGCCGGCGCTGTTGACGCACAGCTGCTGGCACTTCCCGTTGCTGGTGGCGCACTCGTCGATGTCTGCGTGGGGGCAAAGGTAAAGGTCCCCCGTATAGCCTCAACACACTGCTGGGGGCAAGTGCTGTCGGTGGATGTAGCGCCTGAGAATAGGTTTTAGCCTTTCTGGCAATGAACCAGGCTTGTGTTGAGATGTTAAAACGCCAAACTGAAACCCTTTAGTAAGGAACCGTGTACTGCTTCTGGTGCACACACACACACAAATACAACAACACGCTCTGCCTCGTGTGTGGGGCATTGTCTTTGAAACTGATCGGTCCACCCCAGAGACAGCAGCCCTCTTTAGAGACTCGTCTCGAGCAGCGTTAGCCCAGAGGACGCCAACAGGCGAACACGGCACAAAGCCAACGCATCATCATACACGGGCAGAGCGTGTTGTCCAGTGTGTGCGTGTGTGCATGCTTCACCACACGAGTGCGGTTCGTGCAGCACACTATTACTTGCGAAAGGGTTTCACTTTGGTGTCTGAACATCTCAACACCACCTGCTTGATTGCTAGAAAGGGAGATTTTACTGGTAGGACCCTCCTGGTTACACCAGCCCACAGGGGATTATTGTGTCCGTCCGTCGTGCAGGGAGGGGCTGGGTGGGGAGGGAGGGGCTGCATGGGGAGGGGAGGGTGGGGAAGGGCTGGGTGGGGAGAGTGGGGCTGGGTGGGGATGGGCTGGGTGGGGCTGGGTGGGGGGTGGGAGGGGTGGGGCTGGGTGGGGAGGGGAGGGGCTGGTCACCCCGTGGTGCCCTTATAAAACTCAACGTTTAACCTACTCACGCCGGCTTGTGCCCGCCCTCACAGTCGGGCATATTTACGGAATACACCACGCCGCCGTTGACCCTGGCCATTGACCGAGCAACCCAACGTTCCTACCAGCTCCCTCCGCAGGACAACGTGTTCGATGCTTGCAAGGGAGGTGCCACACGTGCACGTGTGAACTCTCACGCTCGCTGACTCACACAGAGACAAAGATCACCTGGACAGCCTCAACAGGCTGCTGGGGCGAGTGCTGGTGGCCAGCAGCACCTAGGAAGGCCGGCAATGTGTGCCAGGTGGCTTCTGAAAGAGAGCTGTACGGCTCAGTGGGCCTTACCCGGTGCAATGTTTTTGTTGAATATACAGCGAGCAATGCTTCGTTATTCGCCTGCTTGTTGTGTTTAGTTTGTTGTTGTGCTTCCGCCGCACCCCCGGTGAGCGGGGCTGGCTACGTACGGTGCGAAAGAAGTTCAACAAACACACGACGACGCGAGAGGCGAGGGCGCTACCTTGGCACGCGGTCTGGTTGAACAGCTGGTATCCAGGGTGGCAGCCGCACTTGAAGGAGCCGTTCGTGTTGATGCAGAAGTCACTGCAGCCGCTGAGCGCTGGGTCGGCGCATTCGTCGATGTCTGCGGATACCACAGACGCGCACACACAGACACACGCACACACGCAGACACACGCACAGACACACACAGACACACGCACAGACACACGCAGACACGCGCACAGACACACGCAGACACACACAGACACATGCACAGACACACACAGACACACGCACACACACGCAGACACACGCACAGACACACACAGACACACGCACAGACACACGCAGACACACGCACAGACACACGCGCACAGACACACACACAGACACACGCAAACAGACACACGCACACAGACACACGCGCACAGACACACGCGCACAGACACACACACAGACACACACACAGACACACGCACACAGACACACGCGCACAGACACACGCACAGACACACGCAGACACACGCACACAGACACACGCGCACAGACACACGCACAGACACACGCAGACACACGCACAGACACACGCGCACAGACACACGCACAGATACATACAGACATACGCAGACACACGCGCACAGACACACATGATCACCCACCCGCTCACCCACCCGCTCACCCGCATGTTCACCCACCCGCTCACCCACCCGCTCACCCACACACTCACCCACCCGCTCACCCACCCGCTCACCCACCCGCTCACCCGCACACTCACCCACCCGATCACCCGCACGCTCACCCACCCGCTCACCCACCCGCTCACCCACCCGCTCACCCGCAGACTCACCCACCCGCTCACCCACACGCTCACCCACCCGCACGTCCGCACGCTCACCCACCCGCTCACCCACCCGCTCACCCACCCGCTCACCCGCACACTCACCCACCCGATCACCCGCACGCTCACCCACCCGCTCACCCACACGCTCACCCACCCGCTCACCCGCACGCTCACCCACCCGCTCACCCACCCGCTCACCCACCCGCTCACCCGCACGCTCACCCACCCGCTCACCCACCCGCTCACCCACCCGCTCACCCGCAGACTCACCCACCCGCTCACCCACCCGCTCACCCACCCGCTCACCCACCCGCTCACCCGCAGACTCACCCGCTCGCCCACCCACCCGCCCACCCGCTCACCCACCCGTGGCGCGCCACGCTGGCCCTGCTGCTCACCTGAGCAGCTCTTGCCATCAGCCTGCAGCTTGAAGCCGGCGGGACAGGAGCAGGCGAAGGAGCCCACGTTGTTGATGCAGACATCCTGGCAGCCGGCGGCGTTCAGCAAACACTCGTCCACGTCTAGCGGTGGGCCAGAGGGCGGTGAGTCGTGTGTTGTGGTGTTGTGGGGTGTGTGTGTTGTGGGGTGTGTGTGTATTGTGGTGTGGTGTGTGTATTGTGGTGTTGTTGTGGTGTGTGTGTGTTGTGGTGTGTGTGTGTCGTGTTGTTGTGGTGTTGTGTTGTGGTGTGGGTGTGTGTGTTGTGGTGTTGTTGTGTTGTGGTGTGTGTGTGTGTGTTGTGGTGTTGTGGTGTGTTGTGGTGTGTGTGTGTGTTGTGTGTGTGTGTTGTGTGTGTTGTGTTGTGGTGTGTGTGTGTTGTGGTGTGTGTGTTGTGGTGTGTGTGTGTTGTGGTGTTGTGGTGTGTGTGTGTGTTGTGGTGTGTGTGTGTGTTGTGGGGTGTGTGTGTTGTGGGGTGTGTGTGTTGTGGTGTGGTGTGTGTGTATGGTGGTGTTGTGGTGTTGTTGTGGTGTGTGTGTGTCGTGTTGGTGTGTGTGTGTGTTGTGGTGTTGTGGTGTGTTGTGGTGTGTGTGTATATTGTGTGTGTGTTGTGTGTGTTGTGGTGTGTGTGTGTGTTGTGGTGTGTGTGTTGTGGTGTGTGTTGTGGTGTGTGTGTTGTGGTGTGTGTGTGTTGTGGTGTTGTGGTGTGTGTTGTGGTGTGTGTGTTGTGGTGTGTGTGTGTGTGTTGTGGTGTGTGTGTGTATTGTGTGTGTGTGTTGTGTGTGTTGTGGTGTGTGTGTGTGTTGTGGTGTGTGTGTGTTGTGGTGTGTGTGTGTGTTGTGGTGTTGTGGTGTGTGTGTGTATTGTGTGTGTGAGCAGTGTGAGTCACAAGTCAATTGTGTTTCTGTTAACACACACGTGTCTGGCCACAAATCTGCCTCTCTGTGCTGCCACCATCATCATCACATGAATACACTCCTTCGGCAATTCTATACTTTAGTGGGTGGGTGGGTGAGTAAGTGGGTGGGTTAGTCAGTGGGTGGGTGTGTGGTTGAGCGTGGGTGAGTGGATGACTGAGTGTGTGGGTGAGTGGGTGAGTGTGTGAGTGGGTGAGTGCGTGAGTGGGTGGGTGAGTGGGTGGGTGAGTTGGTGACTCAGTGAATGGTTGGGTGAGTGGTTGGGTGAATCGGTGGGTGAGTGTGTGGGTGAGTGGCTGAGCGTGGGTGCATGAATGAGTGAGTGAGTGTGTGAGTGGGTGACTGAGTGAGTGTGTGGGTGAGTCGGTGGGTGGGTGTATGAGTGGGTCAGTGGGTGAGTGGTTGAGTGAATCGGTGAGTGAGTGTGTGGGTAGGTGAGTGGGTGAGTGAATGGGTGAGTGAATGGGTGAGTGAGTGACTGAATGAGTGGTTGGGTGAATCGGTGGGTGAGTGTGTGGGTGGGTGAGTGTGTGTGTGTGACTGAATGAGTGGTTGGGTGAATCGGAGGGTGAGTGTGTGGGTGAGTGGGTGAGTGTGTGGGTGCGTGAGTGGGTGTGTGACTGAGTGAGTGGTTGGGTGAGTGGTTGGGTGAATCGGTAGGTGAGTGTGTAACTGAGTGAGTGGGTGGGTGGATGAGTGAGTGTGCGTGTGAGTGGGTGTATTCAGCCTCACGTATCTAATCAAGGCGTGGCTTTATTGCTATAATTTTCCCACTGGCGTAACAATTATGAATTAATCCACGAACTAACAAGAAAACGCTTTCTCTCTCATCTCCAGAGCGCCGTGGCCCAGCGCGGTACGTCCTCTAGGGGGCGTTGGGGCACCGCCCCACCCAGCAGCTGGAGACCAGAAATAAAAAATTCTAATAAAAAAAATACTCTTCTCTCAATCGTTTTGTCGTGTTTAAAAAAAAAACAACGTAACGATTTCCTTCAACGTGCATTGCCCAATGAAGGTAACGTTTTCAAGTTGATCGCGTTAGAAACCGCTGCAAACAACGCAGTCTAATTCGTTGGGCTATCATAGCTAGGCCGCTTCTGCTAAAGAGCTACATGGCTCAATGGACTTAGCTGGTGAAGTAAAATAAGTTGTTTACACCATTGGAACCTCATTTGCCAGTAAAAAATATGATTATTGGTTTTTTACCCTTCTATCTGGCAACAAAACTGACACCTTTTTTACAAGGAGTCATGTTTACATAGACCACAATACCTGCAGTCATAATGCAAACAAAAAACACAACTCTGAAAATGTGCATTGTCCTTGAATTGAGACTAGGCTCTAAGGAAAGCTGTCTCGGGTGTGGACCAATAAACTTCAAGGACAATGCACATTATCAGAGTTGTGTTTTTTGTTTGCATTATGACCGCAGGTATTGTGGTCTATGTAAACATGACTCCTTGTAAAAAAAGGTGTCAGTTTTGTTGCCAGATAGAAGGGTATAAAACAATTATCGTAAAATAAGTTGTTTAGTTCTTAGAGCATCTGGCTTCCGCTATGAATTTCCACGCGATGATGATGAGCCACTTCGTTGAGCACCTATCACTTGTGATAACCAGAAGTCACTTCTGAAATAGGAGCTGCACAACATTCTAGATTTGAAGTGTTCGTGACTGCAGGGATCCATACTCTTTGGTTCTTTCGGTAAAGTCACGTTGGTGAAAAATGAAAAATAAATTAATTTAGTTTTTCTAGATTTGAAGCTTTCGTGACTGCAAGGATTCATATTGTTAGGTTTTTTCGGTAAAGTCACGTAGGTAAAAAATTAAAATTAATAAAAGTTAAATAAAATAAAAATCACGACGTTTCCGAGGCGGAAGCTTGTGTTGCCTCCGAAACGTCGTGATTTTTATTTTATTTTACTTTTATTAATTTAAATTTTTTACCTACGTGACTTTACCGAAAAAAACCTAAGAATATAATTTAGTTTTTACTTTATACCTACGTAAGGTGCACGGCAGCTCAGCAATGGGGGGCGGCCCTGCCTCTAAAAAAAGACCAAAAAATAGTTTCCAGTCGAAGTTTCAGTTCGTCGCCGCTGCCCGCCAGGCTCGCGGCGCTTCGACGTGTGAACCGACCTTCCGGCGCGTTCCCAACTCACCGTCGCACAGGTGACCGTCGGCGTTGAGCGTGTAGCCCGGCATGCAGGCGCACGCGTAACTCCCGTTCGTGTTGTCGCAGATCTGAGCGCATCCGCCGTTGGCTGAGTCGCACTCGTTCACATCTAGCGGAGGGGGTTGGCGGCGAGGCGACGACGGGTTTTTGTTTGTTTTACTTACAGGAGGCGTGGGGAACCTTTTCTATGCCAAGGGCCGTTTGGATATTTACAACATCATTCGCGGGCCATACAAAATTATCAACTTCAAAATTAGCCCGTTGTATTTGGTCAAGCATTTAATTAACTCACCCCTAATGCGATGGGCTGGAACTGCTTCTCTTTGGCGAGGCGTGTGATGTTAGCTGGTATTGATGATGTTGTTGCTACTCGCAACTGCTTTTCCAGGTTTGCTCCTAGATTCATTGAATTTCGAGTGCCGCCTGCGGTTGCCTTGGCAGGGCCACACCAAATGATTTCGCGGGGCCTTATACGGCCCACGGGCCGGACGTTCCCCACCCCTGACTTACAGGGACCTCTCTAGTTGTGAACGAATTAGGTTCCAGAAGTCTCTTCGTAAGTCCAACTTTGCTCCTGGCGATTCCAAACGTGTTGTATGGTGTGTACATCGGAATAGCTTTAAAATTTGAATAATCTCCTGTAGGTGTAAATGCGACCAGTTCATCTTCTGCAGATGTAGATGCCACTGGTTCTACATGTTCTGCAGATGTAGATGCCACTGGTTCTACATGTTCTGCAGATGTAGATGCCACTGGTTCTACATGTTCTGCAGATGTAGATGCCACTGGTTCTACATGTTCTGCAGATGTAGATGCCACTGGTTCTACATGTTCTGCAGATGTAGATGCCACTGGTTCTACATGTTCTGCAGATGTAGATGCCACTGGTTCTACATCTTCTGTAGATGTAGATGCCACCACCACCATCTAATGCGCGGCGGTTGAACTTACAACTCTCGGTCCGAAAAGGCAACTGGACATACGGACCAGCTTTGTTCGTATCTCTGAAAGTTCACAAGTCGAATGTCCGTAAGTGGAGGAGTCGCAGTGCCGTGCTGGCCTTCATGGTGCTGCTACTTGCCGACAGACAGTGCTTGCCCCGACAGTCAGTTAGAGGCCATAAGGGGGACCTTTATCTTTGTACGTGTACGACTCACCCACCCCCTCGTGTGCCGTGCCTGCCTCCATCCGTCATAGCTGCTACACACAAACAGCACTTGCCCCGACAGTCTGTCAGAGGCTACACGGGAGGGACACCTTTGCCTGTATCTGTGTACGAGCCCCACTCACCCACGCACGAGTGCTTGTCTGTCGACAGCAAGAAGCCAGGGTTGCACGAGCAGGCATACGACCCGTAGGAGTCCGTGCAGATCTGTTGGCAGGGGCCTGTACCACCATTGCACTCGTTGATGTCTGTCAAACGAAATGGGCATGAACGTGCGTTAGCACTGTGGTGGCCTGGATAGTATCGTGGTGGGCTGGATAGTATTGTGGTGGTCTCAATAGTATTGTGGTAGCCTGGATAATATTGTGGTGGGCTTGTTAGTATTGTGGTGAGCTTGTTAGTATTGTGGTGGGCTTGTTAGTATTGTGGTGGGCTGGATAGTATCGTGGTGGTCTCAATATTATTGTGGTAGCCTGGATAGTATTGTGGTAGCCTGGATAGTGTTGTGGTGGGCTGGATAGTATTGTGGTGGCCTTGTTAGTATTGTGGTGAGCTGGATAGTATTGTGGTGGCCTTGATAATATTGTGGTGGGCTTGTTAGCATTGTGGTGGGCTGGATAGTAATGTGGTGGGCTGGATAGTATTGTGGTGACCTCAATAGTATTGTGGTAGCCTGGATAGTGTTGTGGTGGCCTTGTTAGTATTGTGTTGGGCTTGATGGAAGGCTACCCTGGGGGCTAGGGAAGGGTAGTGGAGGTGATGGCAAGTAGTGAAGGGGCAAGGGAAGAGGGACTGGGGGGTGGAGAAGAGGTGAGACTTCGAGAGAGGAACGGAATGCAGTTAAGAAGGCGGCTGCTTCATGTGCAGGGCCAGGGTTGAGGCTATGAGTATCGCTGAATCTACGGGGAGTGTTGAATCCATAGGCAGTGTTGAGTCTATGGGTAGTGTTGAGTCTATGGGCAGTGTTGAGTCTATGGGCAGTGTTGAGTCTATGGGTAGTGTTGAGTCTATGGGTAGTGTTGAGTCTATGGGTAGTGTTGAGTCTATGGGTAGTGTTGAGTCTATGGGCAGTGTTGAGTCTATGGGCAGTGTTGAGTCTATGGGTAGTGTTGAGTCTATGGGCAGTGTTGAGTCTATGGGTAGTGTTGAGTCTATGGGTAGTGTTGAGTCTATGGGCAGTGTTGAGTCTATGGGTAGTGTTGAGTCTATGGGCAGTGTTGAGTCTATGGGTAGTGTTGAGTCTATGGGTAGTGTTGAGTCTATGGGTAGTGTTGAGTCTATGGGTAGTGTTGAGTCTATGGGCAGTGTTGAGTCTATGGGCAGTGTTGAGTCTATGGGTAGTGTTGAGTCTATGGGCAGTGTTGAGTCTATGGGTAGTGTTGAGTCTATGGGTAGTGTTGAGTCTATGGGCAGTGTTGAGTCTATGGGTAGTGTTGAGTCTATGGGCAGTGTTGAGTCTATGGGTAGTGTTGAGTCTATGGGTAGTGTTGAGTCTATGGGCAGTGTTGAGTCTATGGGTAGTGTTGAGTCTATGGGTAGTGTTGAGTCTATGGGCAGTGTTGAGGATATAGTTAGCAGTGTTGAGTCTCTGAGCAGTGTTGAGTCTATGGGCAGTGTTGAGTCTATGGGCAGTGTTAAGGATATAGTTAGCAGTGTTGAGTCTCTGAGCAGTGTTGAGTCTATGGGCAGTGTTGAGTCTATGGGTAGTGTTGAGTCTATGGGCAGTGTTAAGGATATAGGTAGCAGTGTTGAGTCTCTGAGCAGTGTTGAGTCTATGGGCAGTGTTGAGTCTATGGGCAGTGTTGAGTCTATGGGTAGTGTTGAGTCTATGGGCAGTGTTAAGGATATAGGTAGCAGTGTTGAGTCTCTGAGCAGTGTTGAGTCTCTGAGCAGTGTTGAGTCTATGGGCAGTGTTGAGTCTATGGATAGTGTTGAGTCTATGGGCAGTGTTGAGGATATGGGCAGTGTTGAGTCTATGGGCAGTGTTGAGGATATAGGTAGCAGTGTTGAGTCTATGGGTAGCAGTGTTGAGTCTATGGGCAGTGTTGAGGATATGGGTAGCAGCGTTGAGTCTATGGGCAGTGTTGAGGATATAGGTAGCAGCGTTGAGTCTATGGGTAGCAGTGTTGAGTCTATGGGTAGTGTTGAGTCTATGGGTGGCAGTGTTGAGGATATAGGTAGCAGTGTTGAGTCTATGGGTAGCAGTGTTGAGTTTATGTTGCAGTGTTGGGTCTATGGGCAGTGTTGAGTCTATGGGTAGCAGTGTTGAGTCTATGGTGCAGTGTTGAGTCTATGGTGCAGTGTTGGGTCTATGGGCAGTGTTGAGTCTATGGGTAGCAGTGTTGAGTCTATGGTGCAGTGTTGGGTCTATGGGCAGTGTTGAGTCTATGGGTAGCAGTGTTGAGTCTATGGTGCAGTGTTGAGTCTATGGGCAGTGTTGAGTCTATGGGAAGCAGTGTTGAGTATATGGGCAGCAGTGTTGAGTCTATGGTGCAGTGTTGGGTCTATGGTGCAGTGTTGGGTCTAGGGGAAGTGTTTAGTCTATTGGGCTTCACGGGCGGACACGTGTCTGTGTGCGTGTCTCACTGTCACACATGAGGAGATCGGCGTTGAGAGAGAAGCCAGGTTGACACTCGCAGATGTACGACCCATTCGTGTTGACGCAAGTCTGGTTGCACTTGTCGCTGTTCAGCTTGCATTCGTCCACATCTGCAACGACCACACACGAAGACAGAGATCCCCCGTGTAGCCTTAACAGACTGTTCGGGCAGAGAATTATACAAACTCCACTCACTCGCTCTCACTCTGTAAAACAGGGGGAGATCATACAAACTACACTCACTCACTCTGTAGGACAGGGGGAGATCATACAAACTCCCCTCACTCTCACTCTGTAGGACAGGGGGAGATCATACACACTCCACTCACTCACTGTGTAGAACTGGGGGAGATCACACAAACTTCACTCACTGTGTAGAACAGGGGGAGATCACACAAACTCCACTCACTCAGTCTGTAGAACAGGGGGAGATCACACAAACTCCACTCACTCTGTAGAACAGGGGGAGATCACACAAACTCCACTCACTCACTCATGCTGTAGAACAGGCAGAGATCATACAAACTCAACTCACTCACTCTGTAGAACAGGGGGAGATCATACAAACTCTACTCACTCTGTAAAACAGGGGGAGATCATACAAACTCCACTCACTCTATAAAACAGGGGGAGATAATACAATCTCCACTCACTGTGTAGAACAGGGGGAGATCAAACAAACTCCACACACTCACTCACTCTGTAGAACAGGGGTAGATCATACAAACTCCACTCACTCACTGTGTAGAACAGGCGGAGATCATACAAACTCCACTCACTCTATAAAACAGGGGGAGATAATACAATCTCCACTCACTGTGTAGAACAGGGGGAGATCAAACAAACTCCACACACTCACTCACTCTGTAGAACAGGCAGAGAACATAGAAACTCCACTCACTCAGTCTGCAGAACAGGGGCAGGGAGAACGTACAAACTCCACTCACTCACTCTGTAGAACAGGGGAAGGGATAACGTACAAACTCTACTCACTCACTCTGCAGAACAGGGGGAGATCATACAAACTACACACACTCACTCACTCTGTAGAACAGGGAAGAGAGAACGTACAAGACGTCACACCGAAAAGGGCTCCCGAGTCAGCAATCAAACCCAGGCCCTTCTGGCTGCCACCGGAGTCGCGACGTTCGCCCTCTGCGTACCGATACAGGACGAGCTGTCCGTCGCCAACTCCCAGCCGGCCATGCAGCTGCACTGGAATCCTCCGAGCAGCTCGGTGCACGTGTGCGCACAGGGGCTGCTGGCGCACTCCAACACATCTGTAAGAACGCACACACGACGGCAATCGTCGACGTCTCCCCCGTCGCCCGTGTGCAGTGACATGGAATGGGTCACCGTGGAACGCAGCGCCGGCTGCTGGCAGAGAAGAGGATCTGCGGTTGCAGCAGCCCTGTCCGTCAGCAGGTCACGTGATAAGCCAGAGAGAGGGACGTAGGGCAAAGGTGATAGGGGGGGGGGGGGCACGTGAGGTGAGCCCGGGAACCCGCTCGGAGGTTCTAGAAGGGGGGCGTGGCCGGGGGCAGAGCGAGGCCTCGCCGGGAGGATAAAAGGGGACCCCCGAGCGAAGGCTCGGGGCTGTCGCTGTGAGTGGGATCCCGTCGGGCTGCTGGAGTCTTCGTCGACGTCCTCACCTCCGCGGCGTCGTCACTCAGGCAGTCCGCTAGCCGTCCCGACTGAGAGTGTAGCCACCCCCTGTACCCCGTGACGGCTGTGATAAATAGAGTGCCTCCTACTCCAAGTGTCTCTGAGTGTCTCACTACACATTTATGTAGCCTTCAAGAGGCTGTCGGGGCAAGCGCTGCCAATGAGCAGCACCGATGCAGGCCGGCACGGCACACGAGGGGGTTGGTGGCCGGCGCCAGGCCCGGCCGCCTTTGTATCTCCCCCAGTGGCAATGTTTACTACACACCGCACCAGGTACTCATTTGAGGCTGAGTCGACCTAGGGGAGGCCCAGGACCTGCTTCAGATAATCGTCACCGGTGTTGGTAGCCGTGTGCGGTAATCGAACTCGGGTTCACCAGGTTCGTAGTGCAGCAGTGCGCTAACCGCTTCTTCACCACCGCTCCTCCCAACGTTACAGACAAAGATCCCCTGTGTAGCCGAGATTTTATCTCAGAATCAGGGCACATTTATTTAACGATGAAGAATCCCTTGAGCTAGCAAGATATTTTTTTACAGATGTCCAGTAGCGGTTACACGGGCACAGAACGTAACGGCAGCAAACACACGATACACAAACACCACGGGAGTGCGGTGGCCCCCCTACAGTGCCGGATGATCCTCGTAGCAACAGGAGCTGCACGTGTAGTAGCTGCACATGTAGTAGCTACACGTGTAGTAGCTACACGTGTTGTAGCTACATGTGTAGAAGCTGCACGTGTAGTAGCTACACAGGCTACGGGCCCCGCACTTTCAAGGGCCCCACGCTCAATGCTTTCAAGCTATCAATTCCGGTTCAGTGATTCTACACTTGCTCTATTACTATAGTACTATACCACCTTCGACTTTTACGAACGACTGGGTGTTTAAGGTTATCGATTTGCCGTATTATCCGGCTGTATAGCGAATGAAAACATACAATCACTTTACTATGCAAGTTAAAAAATGTGTGTTTTATTATTTGTGTTTTTGTTAAGTTAGTGCCCCTTTATAACACATTGCTCGAGGCCCTGCACCAGCTTCACTCGGCACTGCTCCCTTACGTGGTAAAAAAAAAGAACATTTCTATATATAGCGGCATAGTCGCTTTTCGTTTACGTACCGATGCAAGTCACTTTATCAACGTCCAGACGGAATCCTTTGAGGCACGTGCAGTGGAAGCTCCCGTCCTTGTTCACGCAGTCGCCCAGGCAGCCGTCCGTGTCGAGGGCACACTCGTCAATGTCTACACGACGCAGGCAACGTGGACAAAGGGTGACCCACCCCCCGTGTCGCCGTTAGCAGACAGTTGGGGCGAGTGCTGTTCACGAGCAGGCCGGCACTGCGGCACACGAGGGGGTGGGTGGCCAGCGCCACGCCCGGCCGCCTTTGTCTCACCAGTGGTGGTGTGTACACACCGCACCAGTTACTCATTCGCCCACTAACTCACCCACTCACTCACTCAAACACTAATTCACCCACTCACCCACCCGCTCACTCACTCACTCACCCGCTCACTCACCCACTCACTCAACCACTAACTCACGCGCTCACACACTCACCCACCCGCTCACTAACTCACCCACTCACTCACTCACCCACCAACTCACCCACTCACACACTCACCCACCCGCTCACTCACTCATTCACCCGCTAACTCACCCACCCACTAACTCATTCACCCACTAACTCACCCACTCACTCACCCACCCACTCACTCATTCGCTCACTAACTCACCCACTCACTCACCCACTAACACACTCACCCATTAACACACTCACCCATTAACTCACCCACCCACTCACTCATTCACCCACTAACTCACCCACTCACTCACCCACCCACTCACTCACTCATTCGCTCACTAACTCACCCACTCACTCACTCACCCACTAACTCACCCACTGACACACTCACCCACCTGCTCACTCCTTCACCCATTAACTAACCCATGCACTCACTCATTCACCCACTAACTCACCCACTCACTCAACCACCCACCCACTCACTCACTCATCCGCTCACTCACTCACCCACTAACTCACCCACTGACACGCTCACCCATCTGCTCACTCCTTCACCATTAACTCACGCACGCACTCACTCATTCACCCACTAACCCACCCACTCACTCACCCACCCGCTCACTCACCCACCCGCTCACCCACCCACTCGCTCACTCACCCACCCGCTCACCCACTTGCTCATCCACCCACCTACTCACCCACGCACCTACTCACCCACCCACCTACTCACCCATCCGCTCACCCACCCACTCACCCACCCACCTACTCACCCACCCACCCACTCACCAACCCACCCACCTACTCACCCACCCACCTACTCACCCACCTACTCACCCACCCACCCACTCACCCACCCACCCACCTACTCACCCACCCACCTACTCACCCACCTACTCACCCACCCACCCACTCACCTACTCACCCACCCACCTACTCACCCACCCACTCACCCACCCACCCACTCACCCACCCACCCACCTACTCACCCACCCACTCACCCACCCACCCACCTACTCACCCACCCACCCACCCACCTACTCACCCACCCACCCACCTACTCACCCACCCACCTACTCACCCACCCACCCACCTACTCACCCACCTACTCACTCACCCACCCACCTGCTCACCCACCCGCTCACCCACCCACAAGACAGACGTTCAAGTGCAGGAGCTGCACTCAGTGCCTCTCTCCCCGCACCTTCACAGCTGCTGTTGTCTTTGCCCAGTTTCCATCCGCTAGAGCAGGAGCAGGCGAAGGCGCCGACCGAGTTGGTGCAGCTCTGGTTGCAGGGGCCCGGAGAAGGCGCGCACTCGTCAACGTCTGCCGGGAGACAGAGACAAAGATCCCCCGTGTAGCCTTCAACACATCGTTGGGGAAAGTGCTGTTCGTGGCGAGTGAGCAGCAGCACCGTGGCACACGAGAGGGGTGGTTCGCCACGCTCGGCCGCCTTTGTCTCCCCCAGTGGCGATGTTTAACAACATCGAACCAGGTGCTCGTTTGAGGCCGAGTCGACCTAGGGGAGGAGGCCCAGGACCGGTTCAGATAATCGTCAATGGCGGCGTTGGTGGCCGTGAGCGGGAATCGAACTCAGGCCATAGACGGGTTCGGAGCGCAGCAGCGTAGCGCTAACCGCTGCACCACCGCTCCCCACACAACGCCTTGACATGATTTTCAGTTTACCAGGTAAGGCCCACTGAGCCATAGAGCTCGTTCTGGTGAGACTTAATAACTGACCACGGGGAGAGAGAGAGACGCAGACTCCAAGTATACATCAGTGGGATCGAACCCACGACCTCCTGTATACCAGGCGAGGTAGTTAACATCTCCTAGCCACCGTGATGATGATGAGAGAGAGACACGCAAACTCCAAATATACAGCTGGTGTCAGGGTCGGTATCGTACCCACGACCTCCTGTAGACCGGGCGAGGTAGTTAACATCTCCTAGCCACCGTGATGATGATGAGAGAGACGCAAACTCCAAATGCACAGCTGGTGTCAGGGTCGGTATCGTACCCACGACCTCCTGTGTACCAGGCGAGGTAGTTAACATCTCCTAGCCACCGTTGCGCCCATGGTGGACTGGTTTGAAGAAGCAACTCAGTTAGAGATGAGTGTCTAAGTGGCAGCGGCTATTGTAAAGTAAGGGGTTTGTCACGTGAACAAAAGTGCCAATTCGTTTCTAGTACAGTACTAACCGGTCGTGTGGTTGGGGAGTAAACCCACTGCAACGTTTACAATCCGAGTAGCCGTGACGTTTTGCCGGTAATTACAACAACAACTGCAACAACCAGCAGCAGCATCAGGCGACAGCCACAGAGCTGCCGAGGAATCGTCCCCCCTCTTCCTGTTTCGGTCTCCGATAGAGCGGAGGTCACAGATGGGACGTCGTCAACTTGCGCGCCAATGCGGGTGCCGAATCACCACCACCACCAGCAGCAGCAGCACCAGCAGCAGCAGCAGTCACGAATCACCACCAGCAGCAGCAGCCACGTGGGTGCAAACCGCCTTCCACGTGCGGTGGCAGGAGAGTCAAGCTGCAGTGTGACGGGGCTAGTGGCTACGAGGATGACCGAGAGTAGGGGCATGGCCAGGTGATCTAGGGACACAGTGGAGTCAACCTGCAGAGCGAGTGGAGTCGACCTGCAGGGCGAGTGGACTAGAGGGTCAACGAGAAGGATCGGGAACAGGGGTGTGTCCACAGGACAGGGGCGTGGCCTCTGGACAAGAGGCGTGGTCACAGGACAGGGGCGTGGCCACGGGACAGGGGCGTGGCCTCGGGATAAGGGGCGTGGTCACGTGACAGGGGCGTGGTCACGTGACAAGGGGTGTGGTTACACAGGACAGGGGCGTGGCCTTGCACCGTATATAAGGCGGACGCGCGGGAGAATCGGGGCTGCCGCAGGGCGTTCTTCGCGGGTTCGAGGGAGAGCCACGTGGCTCCTTAAATAAAGATCCTTCCCAGACAAGCAGCGAAGCCGTCGCTGCTGCACGCGTGAAAGCGTGCCCCCCCCCCCCCGCCCCGTGGCCTGTGTTTCACCCGTGGCGTGTGTTTTACCGGTGCATGTCGTGGGCGCGCTGAGCACGAATCCGGGGTTGCAGGTGCAGTAGAAGGAGCCGAAGGTGTTGACGCAGTTCTGGTTGCACGGCGACGAGGTGCACTCGTCGACGTCTGGGGTCACAACAACAACAACGACGACCGAGTTGGCGACAACAGGAAAAAACGCGGCGGAAGATGAGATTTAAAGGGAGTTTGGGGGTGGGTCAGAGCGGGGAATTTTTAGTCTAACGGTGCATTTTTTTCGCCTTTGGGATCTTGCGTTAGCCCGTCCGCTACGCCACGTGCCGTAGAATGTCGCTGTACGCTCGCCGCTGCCTCTCGTCCATTGGTCAGTCCCAACTCCCAGTTTGTAATAACTTGCCGATTTCTTTCACGTCTAGGAACCACCTCCCCCTCTCCTACCTTGTGCCAAAAATGAATGTGTGTTTTGTCGCGTTCTTGGTTAGACATGGCGTCAATATAAATGTTGCTACCTATAAACCCGACACCCATCCTGACACCACACGTCCAATTAGCAAAGGATCTTCGCACTGAATCCAAAACGTGCCAATGAGTTACTGGTTCAGCGGTTAGCGCTACGCTGCGCTGCAAACCCGGCGACGATTATCTGAAATGGTCCCGGGTCTCCCTTAGCTCGACTCAACCTCAAATGAGTACCCGGTGCGGTGTGTAGTAAACATCGCCACTGGGGAGACAAAGGCGGGTGGACAGAGTGGTGCTGACTACCCCACCCCCTCGTGTGCCGCCGTGCCGGCCTTCGTAGGTGCTACTGACCAACAGGGTACAAAAACAATTATCATATTTTTTACTGGCAAATGAGGTTCCAATGGTGTAAATCTTTTATTTTTTCGGACCCAACCCCATATTTCGTATCGCTTCGTTTAATAAAACTAAACACAAGGTAACGAAATCCAACAGCAAGCGCGTCCCACCCCCCACCCTCCCCCCTTCACAGTTGACCACTCACCAATGCAGGAGTGACCGTCCGAGGCCAGGGCCAGCCCGGAGCCGCAGCTGCAGGTGTAGCTGCCGGCGATGTTGGCGCAGGTGCCGTTGCAGGGAGGTGGAACTTTGGCACACTCGTCGTCATCTGCACAGGGCGCGCGAACAAAGGCGAGTCACCGTACGCCGGTGAGCGATAATGACGCGCGCCCTTTACCCCCCCCCCCGCTAGCCCTCGGCGTTCTCCGTCGTGAATGAGCGGAGAGCCCGGAGACAAGATCCACGCGGCCACGGGGAGAGCGAGAGACACGCTGACCCACAAATACACACAGAGTAGAAGCCGCTGCCTCGTGCGCAGCAGGCGAGGGAGATGACATCTCGCAGCCGCTGTGCTAAACAATTCAAAACAATTCCCCGAAAATCACTCAAACTAAAGACGAAACTACGTTTTTAATTTTTTTATTTTACCAGGTCATGCCCACTGAGCTAAGTAGCTCGTTGTCAGAAGCGAGCTGGCCACCAATAAATAGCTGAACGAAGCGGCTTATCGCGTGCACATTGATAGCAGCCAAATACTCTAAACGCGTGACGTTGAATCGTGACGTTGATTCCAAATGTGGAGGGGGGGGAAACCGGAGGAACCGGAGAAAAATCCACGCGACCGCGGGGAGAGATAGAGAGCCAAACAAGCAAACTCCAAATATACAGCAGCAGGCGTCGTCAGAGTGGGGATCTAAACCACGACCTCCTGCGTACCAGGCGAGGGAGTTAACATCTCCTGGCCACTGAGATGCCCCGATGCTACACAATGCCAACCAAGTCCCCAGCTAATCACTCGACTGGCATCACACAGCAGCCGCCCTCCACTTGTAGAGAGAATACAAATATTGAGGCATCTGATGAGCTATGAAGCTATTTTTCAGAGTTGAGTCTATGGGCATCAATACTGCCCATAGACTCAACACTGCACCATAGACTCAACACTGCCCATAGACTCAGCACTGCCCATAGACTCAACACTGCCCACAGACTCAACACTGCACCATAGACTCAACACTGCCCACAGACTCAACACTGCCCATAGACTCAACACTGCACCATAGACTCAACACTGCCCACAGACTCAACACTGCCCACAGACTCAACACTGCCCACAGACTCAACACTGCACCATAGACTCAACACTGCCCATAGACTCAACACTGCCCACAGACTCAACACTGCCCACAGACTCAACACTGCACCATAGACACAACACTGCCCATAGACTCAACACTGCCCACAGACTCAACACTGCAACATAGACTCAACACTGCCCACAGACTCAACACTGCCCATAGACTCAACACTGTCCATAGGCTCAACACTGCCAATAGATTCAACACTGCCCATAGACTCAACACAGCACCATAGACTCAACACTGCCCACAGACTCAACACTGCCCATAGACTCAACACTGTCCATAGGCTCAACACTGCCCATAGATTCAACACTACCCATAGACTCAACACTGCCCATAGATTCAACACTACCCATAGACTCAACACTGCCCATAGATTCAACACTACCCATAGACTCAACACTGCCCATAGACTCAACACTGTCCATAGACTCAACACTGTCCATAGACTCAACACTGCCCATAGACTCAACACTGTCCATAGCCTCAACACTGTCCATAGACTCAACACTGTCCATAGACTCAACACTGTCCATAGACTCAACACTGTCCATAGACTCAACACTGTCCATAGACTCAACACATGTCCATAGACTCAACACTGCCCATAGACTCAACACTGTCCATAGACTCAAACACTGCCATAGACTCAACACTGTCCTAGACTCAACACTGTCCATAGACTCAACACTGCCCATAGACTCACACCCTGCCCATAGACTCAACACTGCCCATAGACTCAACACTGCCATAGACTCAACACTGTCCCATAGACTCAACACTGTCCATAGACCAACACTGCCCCTAGACCAACACACTGCCATAGACTCAACACTGTCCATAGACTCAACCCTGCTCCATAGACTCAAACACTGCTCCATAGACTCAACACTGTCCATAACTCAACACTGCCCATAGACTCAACACTGTCCCATAGACTCAACACTGCCCATAGACTCACCACTGTCCATAGACTCAAACACTGCCCATAGACTCAACACTGTCCATAGACTCAACACTGCCATAGACTCAACACTGCCCATAGACTCAACACTGTCCATAGACTCAACCACTGCCCATAGACTCAACACTGTCCATAGACTCAACACTGTCCATAGACTCAACACTGTCCATAGACTCAACACTGCCCATAGACTCAACACTGTCCACAGACTCAACACTGCCCATAGACTCAACACTGCCCATAGACTCAACACTGTCCATAGACTCAACACTGCCCATAGACTCAACACTGTCCACAGACTCAACACTGTCCATAGACTCAACACTGCCCATAGACTCAACACTGCCCACAGACTCAACACTGCCCATAGATTCAACACTGCCCATAGACTCAACACTGCCCATAGATTCAACACTGCCCATAGATTCAACACTGCCCATAGACTCAACACTGCCCATAGACTCAACACTGCCCATAGACTCAACACTGCCCATAGACTCAACACTGCCCATAGACTCAACACTGCCCATAGACTCAACACTGCTACCCATAGACTCAACACTGCCCATAGACTCAACACTGCCCATAGACTCAACACAGCCCATAGACTCAACACTACCCATAGACTCAACACTGCCCATAGACTCAACACTGCCCACAGACCCAACACAGCCCATAGACTCAACACTGCCAATAGACCCAACACTGCCCACCCCACCACAATACTACCGAGGCCACAGCAATACAACACCAAGGTGCCACCCGTCCACCTGGGACCTGCGGGACCTGTTACCTGCGCAGGTGGAGGCCGTGTCCAGGATGTAGCCGATGGGGCAGTAGCACGCGAACGAGCCGGCGCTGTTGACGCACAGGTTGGAGCAGCCTCCGTTGGCGACGGCGCATTCGTCCACGTCTGGGGAACGGTCAACGCGCGGTCACTCGCCGTTACCCCTCTCTGTGTACCCCTCTCTGTGAACCCCTACCAGCCCCTACCCCTGTCTGTGTACCCCTACCACCCCTACCCCTGTCTGTGTACTCCTACCACCCCTACCGCTGTCTGTGAACCCCTACCAGCCCTACCCCTGTGTGTGAACCCCTACCAGCCCCTACCCCTGTCTGTGTACCCCTCCCCCTTTGTGTGAACCCCTACCCCTGTCTGTGTACCCCTCTCTGTGAACCCCTACCAGCCCCTACCCCTGTGTGTGAACCCCTACCAGCCCCTACCCCTATCTGTGTACCCCTCCCCCTTTGTGTGAACCCCTACCCCTGTCTGTGTACCCCTCTCTGTGAACCCCTACCAGCCCCTACCCCTATCTGTGTACCCCTCCCCCTTTGTGTGAACCCCTACCCCTGTCTGTGTACCCCTCTCTGTGAACCCCTACCAGCCCCTACCCCTGTGTGTGAACCCCTACCAGCCCCTACCCCTATCTGTGAACCCCTACCAGTCCTACCCCTGTCTGTGTACCCCTACCCCTGTCTGGGGTGTGTGTGTGTGGTGTGTGTGTGGTGTGTGGTGTGTGTGGTGTGTGTGTGTTGTTTGTGTGTGCAAGGACTGGTCAAGATCTCCCCGCACCTTCACAGCTGCTGTTGTCTTTGCCCAGGATCCATCCGCTAGAGCAGGAGCAGGCGAAGGCGCCGACCGAGTTGGTGCAGCTCTGGTTGCAGGGGCCCGGAGACGCCACGCACTCGTCAACGTCTGCGAGAGACAGAGACAAAGATCCCCCAGCCGGTGAAGCATTTTCTTTTTTAGTATTTTATGAACAAAGACGATTCAAACTAGACTCGAAGCTGTCGTGACTGCACGAGTTACTCCTTGGTTCTTTCGGTAAAGTCACGTAGAAGGGAAATAATAAATTAATAAAAATTAAACAATAAAATTCTAACGATGTTTCGACTGCAACACAAGCAATCATCATCAGGTGTGAAATCCACAGCAATAATATTTTTTTCAAATTTTCTTGCCGTGGATTTCACACCTGATGATGATTGCTTGTGTTGCAGTCGAAACGTGGTGAGAATTTATAGTTTTATTTTTATTATTCTTTTTATTTCCCTTCTACGTGACTTTACCGAAAGAACCAAGAATATGAATCCCTGCAGTCACGAAAGCTTTAAATCAAATTTTAAATAATAATAATAATAGTACGAATGAATGAGTTGCGTGGAATTCCAGCCCATAGCGGCCGGAGGAGAGGCAATGGCCTTACAAACAAGTATGGAGAAAGCAAGTTTAATTCTAGATTTGAAGCTTTCGTGACTACAAGGATTCATACTCTTATGTTCTTTCGGTAAAGTAACGTAGGTAAAAAATGAAATTAAAATTAATGAAAACAATAAAATCACGACGTTTCAGCTTCCGTCTTCAGGTGAAACTGAAGACGGAATATTGTGTTGCCTCTGAAACGTCGTGATTTTATTGTTTTCATTAATTTTAATTAAATTTTTTACCTACGTGACTTTACCGAAAGAACTAAGAGTAAGAAAGCAAGTTTAGTCAAATTAGGAAGTGTAACGCGATGCCATCCCGATAGTCGGTTCAACACACAGTTAATACATAGCCTGGTTCATTACGCTCTTCCAACGATTGCTAAATTAGAAACAAGCACGGAAAGAACCAAAGAGCAATTCCTGCACTCACGAAAGCTTCGAAACCAGTTTGAACCACTGCCTGTTGCAGGCTACAAGGGGGATCTTTGTCTTTGTGAGAGTCAATGCCACTAGGGAGACAAAGGCGGACGGGAGGGTTGACTCTGCGTGCGTGTCCGCTCATCACCATCACAAGTCTTGAGGTCCACTGCGTTGAGGAGGAACCCGGGGTTGCACTTGCAGGCGAACGAGCCGATGGAGTTGACGCAGACTTGCCCACAGGGAGAAGACGCACACTCATTGTCATCTGTAGGGAGGGCGTGGGGGGGGGGAGTGGGTAGGGTGGGGGGGGAGTAGGGGGTGGGAAGGGTGGGGGGGTAGGGGGTGGGGGGAAGGGTGGGGGGGGGAAGGGTGGGGGGAAGGGTGGGGGGTAAGGGTGGGGGGGTAAGGGTGGGGGGGTGAATCACAAGGGAAGAGAAGCCACGCGCACGGAGGGATTCCGTGAAGTATTCCTCGGGAGAGAATGGGATGTGTTGTGATTGCAGGCTGCTTGTGTACGTTGAACCGTACGTCGGCAACATCTCCTAGCCACCGTGATGATGATGATTGAGACGCAAACTCCAAATATACAGCAGGCGTTAAGGTCGGGATCGAACCCACGACCTCCTGCGAGGTAGTTAACATCTCCTAGCCACCGTGATGATGATGAGAGAGACGCAAACTCCAAATATACAGCAGCAGCAGCAGGCATCGTCAGGGTCGGGATCGAACCCACGACCTCCTGCGTACCAGGCGAGGTAGTCAACATCTCCTAGCCATCGTGATGATGATGACAGAGAGAAACGCAAACTCCAAATATACAGCAGCAGCAGGCATCGTCAGGGTCGTGATCGAACCCACGACCTCCTGCGTACCAGGCGAGGTAGTTAACATCTCCTAGCCACCGTGATGATGATGATGATTGAGAGAGAGAGAGGCAGTAGTGGTGCTCGCTCCACCCACCGATGCACTTGCTGTTGTCTTCGGCGAGGACGTATCCCGGATCGCATGAGCAGCTGTAGGAGCCCGCGGAGTTCGCGCAGTGCACGGCGCACACGGCCGGGCTGATCGTGCACTCGTCAATATCTGCGGAGGTGTTGAAACATCCACGTCACGTGCACACCAAATACAAAGATCCCTCCCCTGCCGTGTAGCCTCAACAGACTGCGGGGGCAAGTGTTGTTAGCGGCATACGAGGGGTGGGTGGCCAGCACCACGCCCGGCCGCCTTTGTCTCCCCGGTGGCGATGTTTACTGCACACCGCTACACCAGGTACTCGTTTGAGGCTGAGTGTTGTTGTAAGTGTTGTTGTGAGTGTTGTTGTTGTTGTGAGTGTTGTTGTGAGTGTTGTTGTTGTGAGTGTTGTTGTTGTGAGTGTTGTGAGTGTTGTTGTGACTGTTGTTGTGAGTGTTGTTGTGAGTGTTGTTGGGATTGATGATGTGAGTGGTGTTGTTGTTGTGAGTGTTGTGAGTGTTGTTGTTGTTGTGAGTGTTGTTGTGAGTGTTGTTGTGAGTGTTGTGAGTGTTGTGAGTGTTGTTTTTGTTGTGAGTGTTGTTGTTGTTGTGAGTGTTGTGAGTGTTGTTGTGAGTGTTGTGAGTGTTGTTGTTGTTGTGAGTGTTGTTGTTGTTGTGAGTGTTGTGAGTGTTGTTGTGAGTGTTGTGAGTGTTGTTGTTGTGAGTGTTGTTGTTGTGAGTGTTGTGAGTGTTGTTGTGAGTGTTGTTGTTGTGAGTGTTGTTGTGAGTGTTGTGAGTGTTGTTGTTGTGAGTGTTGTTGTTGTTGTGAGTGTTGTTGTGAGTGTTGTGAGTGTTGTTGTTGTTGTGAGTGTTGTTGTTGTTGTGAGTGTTGTGAGTGTTGTTGTGAGTGTTGTGAGTGTTGTTGTTGTGAGTGTTGTTGTTGTTGTGAGTGTTGTTGTTGTGAGTGTTGTTGTTGTTGTACCGTCGCAGGCGACTCCGTCCCCCGCGAGCTGGTAGCCCGGTGGGCACGCACAGCGGTGCGAGCTCCACGTGTTCACGCAGAACTGGGAGCACGGAGACACCGCCGCTCCACACTCGTCCACGTCTAGCACAAACAACAACAACAACAACAACGCTGAATGATGCAACAGCAGCCACACAAACAACAACAACAACAACGATGAATGATGCAACAGCAGCCACACAAACAACAACAACAACGCTAAATGATGCAACAGCAGCCACACAAACAACAACAACAACAACGCTGAATGATGCAACAGCAGCCACACAAACAACAACAGCAACAACAACGATGAATGATGCAACAGCAGCCACACAAACAACAACAGCAACAACAATGAGAGATGATGCAGCAGCAACAACACAAACAACAACAACAACAATGAGAGATGATGCAGCAGCAGCCACACAAACAACAACAACAATGAGAGATGATGCAGCAGCAGCAACACAAACAACAACAACAACAACGATGAGAGATGATGCAGCAGCAGCCACACAACAACAACAACAACAACAACAACGATGAGAGATGCAGCAGCAGCAACACAAACAACAACAACAACAATGAGAGATGATGCAGCAGCAGCCACACAAACAACAACAACCACAATGAGAGATGATGCAGCAGCAGCAACACAAACAACAACAACAACAATGAGAGATGATGCAGCAGCAGCCACACAAACAACAACAACCACAATGAGAGATGATGCAGCAGCAGCAACACAAACAACAACAACAACAATGAGAGATGATGCAGCAGCAGCCACACAAACAACAACAACCACAATGAGAGATGATGCAGCAGCAGCAACACAAACAACAACAACAACAATGAGAGATGATGCAGCAGCAGCCACACAAACAACAACAACCACAATGAGAGATGATGCAGCAGCAGCAACACAAACAACAACAACAACAATGAGAGATGATGCAGCAGCAGCAACACAAACAACAACAACAATAAGAGATGATGCAGCAGCAGCAACACAAACAACAACAACAACCACAATGAGAGATGATGCAGCAGCAGCCACACAAACAACAACAATGAGAGATGATGCAGCAGCAACACAAACAACAACAACAATAAGAGATGATGCAGCAGCAACACAAACAACAACAACAACAATGAGAGATGATGCAGCAGCAGCACAAACAACAACAACAATGAGAGATGATGCAGCAGCAGCACAAACAACAACAACAACAACAATGAGAGATGATGCAGCAGCAGCCACACAAACAACAACAACAACAATGAGAGATGATGCAGCAGCAGCAACACAAACAACAACAACAACAATGAGAGATGATGCAGCAGCCACATAAACAACAACAACAATGAGAGATGATGCAGCAGCAGCCACACAAACAACAACAACATCAACGAGGGTTGCAGCAGCAACACAAACAACAACAACAATGACGCACCTCTGCATGTCCGCCCGTCATCGTTGAGGAGCTGTCCAGCAGGGCACGTGCAGGAGAAGTTCCCCACGCTGTTGGTGCATTGCGACTCGCACGGAGAGCTGGGGATGCACTCGTCGATATCTGTAAACAACAACAACAACAACAAGGCAAACGCGTCATCGTCAGAAGCAGCAGCAGCATCATCAGAAGCAGCAGCAGTAGCGTCATCATCAGCAGCAGTAGCATCATCATCAGCAGCAGTAGCATCATCATCATTATCAGCAGTAGCATCATCATCATTATCAGCAGTAGCATCATCATCAGCAGCAGTAGCATCATCGTCAGCAGTAGCATCATCATCATTATCAGCAGTAGCATCATCATCAGCAGCAGTAGCATCATCGTCAGCAGCAGTAGCATCATCGTCAGCAGTAGCATCATCATCATCATTATCAGCAGTAGCATCATCATCAGCAGCAGTAGCATCATCGTCAGCAGCAGTAGCATCATCGTCAGCAGTAGCATCATCATCAGCAGCAGTGGCATCAGCATCATCATCAGCGTCATCAGAAGCAGCGTCATCATCAACATCATCAGCAGTGGCATCAGCATCATCATCAGCGTCATCAGAAGCAGCGTCATCACCACCAGTGTCATCATCAGCAGTGGCATCAGCATCATCATCAGCGTCATCAGAAGCAGCGTCATCATCAACATCATCAGAAGCAGCGTCATCATCAGCAGTAGCATCATCATCAGCATCACCACCAGTGTCATCATCAGCAGTGGCATCAGCATCAGCAGCAGCGTCATCATCACTGTCGCTTCTCGCCGTCACGCGCCCTGCCCTGTGTGCGTTGAACTTCTTTCGCACCGTACGTAGCCAACCGTGGCTAATCCGAGTTGCGGGGGGAAGGACAACAATCTAAACAACAACAACAACAAGCAGCAGCAGCAGTTCTAAACAAATGAGTTTGTCAATGTAGAACGTTCCAGACGGCAACGGAGGCAGAGCGATCTGCGCGTCAAGGTTGGTGATGTTGGAATGGAGGAGGCTCGTAAAGGACGCTGCTGCTGCCGCTGCTGCTACTGGGCACTTGGAGGCAGTCGCCTCTCCAGCAACAACAACAACAACGGAGGGTAGAGGAGCGACGCTCACAACAACGAGCTGAACGCCGGGCGGCTAAAGCACAGCAAGTTGGCACAGTAGGGGTACCGCTGGTGGTGCATCTACCAGGGGTCATCTCAGTCGGGCAACCCATGGCACCTGCTGGGTCTGTCCCGTGACCTCCACCTGCACCTAGCCTGGCACAGTAGAGGGGTACAGCTGGTGGTGCATCTACTGGTCATCTCAGTCAGTCGACCCATGGCACCTGCTGGGTCTGTCCCGAAAACTCCTCCTGCACCTAGCCTGGCACAGTAGGGGGTACAGCTGGTGGTGCATCTACCAGTGGCCATCTCAATCGGGCAACCCATGGCACCTGCTGGGTCTGTCCCGTGACCTCCTCCTGCACCTAGCCTGGCACAGTAGGGGTACAGCTGGTGGTGCATCTGCTGGTCATCTCAATCGGGCAACTCATGGCACCTGCTGGGTCTGTCCCGTGACCTCCTCCTACCAGCAGTGAGGCCTTTGACACTTCACGTGGTAGCCTCAAAGTGCACCTAGCCTGGCACAGGCGCCGTGGGGACGTAACTTTGTGACGAAGGGGGTGTTGGTATTGGTAGGTGTGTATGTGTGTGTGTACGTGTGTCAAGGTTGGTGATGTTTGTGTTTATGTGCAGCGGTTAGCACTACGAACCCGGTTTTAAGCCGAGTTCGATTCCAGCTCAGGGCCACCAACACCACCAGTGACGATTCTCTGAACCGGTCATGGTCCTCCCCTAGGTCGACTCAGACTCAAATGAGCACTCTCGGGTGCTGCTCGCTAGCAACAGCACTTGCCCCTACAGTCTGTTGAGGCTTTACGGGGCGTGTTAGGAAGCTTTGTCTCTGTACTCACCATCACAAGCCAGGCCGTCGGCAGCTATGGTGTAGCCGCTGTTGCACGCGCATTTGAACGAGCCGATGGAGTTGATGCAGATCTGAGCACAGGGGCTTGGCAGAGCCTTACACTCGTCAACATCTGTTTTGGGGGCAGAAGTGCGATCGTTACAATCATCGTCATTCAGAGTAAGCACCATCATCATCGTCGTCGTCATCATCTCCCAAGCCACCGTGATGATGATGATGATGAGACAGAGAGACGCAAACTCCAAATACACAACCGGTGCCGTCAGGATCGAGATCGAACCCACGACCTCCTGTGTACCAGGCGAGGTAGTTAACATCTCCTAGCCACCGTGATGATGATGAGAAAGACACGCAAACTCCAAATATACAGCTGGAATTATCAGGGTTAGAGATCGAACCCACGACCTCCTGTGTACCAGGCGAGGTAGTCAACATCTCTTAGCCACCGTGATGATGATGATGATGAGAGAGACACGCAAACTCCAAATATACAGCAGGCGTCAGGGTTCAGGATCGAATCCACGACCTCCTGTGTACCAGGCGAGGGAGTTAACATCTCCGTGCTCACCTTCACAGGACAGGCTGTCGGCCCCCAGGGTGTAGCCGGCGTTGCAGGAGCAGCTGAAGGATCCGTCGGAGTTGGTGCAGGTCTGTCCACAGCCTCCGTTCTGTGTCAAGCACTCGTCGATATCTGGGTGGGGTGGTGGGTGGTGTGGGTGGTGGTGGGGTGGGTGGGTGGGGTGGGTGGTGGTGGTGTGGGTGGTGGTGGGGTGGGTAGGGTGGGTGGTGGTGGGTGGTGGTGGTGGTGTGGGTGGTGGTGGGGTGGGTGGGTGGTGTGGGTGGTGGTGGGGTGGGTGGGTGGGTGGTTGGGTGGGGTGGGTGTTGTGGGTGGTGGTGGGTGGGTGGGTGGGTGGGGTGGGTGTTGTGGGTGGTGGTGGGTGGGTGGGTGGGGTGGGTGGTGGGTGGTGGTGGTGGGTGGGGTGGGTGGTGGTGGTGGGGTGGGTGGGTGGGTGGGGTGGGTGGTGGTGGTGGTGGTGGGTAGTGGTGGGTGGTGGGTGGTGATGGGTGGTGGTGGGGAGAGAGGATTGTGAGTCTCGGTTTCACCATACTTCACCACGCACGGTCACGTGTGGATAGGGAGGAGAGGGGGTAGGGGGTGTCGGGGGGGAGGTGGTGAGGGGGTGAAGGGGAGTTTGGGGTGGAGGCAGGGGGCGTAGAAGAGTAGAAACCCTCCACCCCCCACCCCCCTGCAACGTTGGGGAAACGATGGGTCAAGGTTGGAGCAACGTTGGGTCAAGGTTTGACCAACATTGGGGAAACGTTGGGTCAAGGTTGGAGCAACGTTGGGTCAAGGTTTGACCAACGTTGGGAAAACGATGGGTCAATGTTGGGTCAAGGTTGGAGCAGCGTTGGCTCAAGGTTGGAGCAACGTTGGGGCAACGTTGGGTCAAGGTTGGCTCAAGGTTGGACCAACGTTGGGGCAACGTTGGGGCGCAACGTCATGCAAACGTCGGGCGCCAACGTCGGTTTCGTGTCGAGGCCACGTACCGGTTTCGCACAGGAGGCCCGTGTATCCTGACGGGCAGCTGCACGTGTTGTTGGAGCTGCACACGCCGCCGTTGAGACACTGGTCCTGGCACGTGACTGTGGAAGGGACAGGGAGGGGCGGCTCCATTGGCACCGCGGGCGAAAGAAAGCGGCGAAGAGACCCACGGCCCAACGCGGCACTCGCGCTCGCACACACGAACTGCGACGACCGCGCAACGAACAAAAACTAAACAAGTATAACCCGTAAAAACTAAGTTTTTCACTATAAATCCTTTATATGCTTGGCGGCTAGAGTCCTCTCGTCCTCTGGCTTGAGATGGCTGCCACCTATGGGTCAGATGATTGTCTGCAGTATTAAACAATTGGTAATTAAATATTTAATTTGTTTTCCCTAAACAGTGTACAGTTTTGGAAAAAAATTTCACGAACATTAATTGTCTCGCACAACGAGTCTGTGTGCAAAATGTCAGCTCGATTGGATCATGGGAAGTGGGTTAAAAAACGACCGAAAGATTTGCACGGTCGTAAGCAAGCAAGCAAGCACGCAAGCAAGCGAACTTAATATAAAGAATTTAAAAACGTCATCTCCGAAAGAGCTTCGAAGCTCTTCGGATTGATTCCTCCGGTCTAAGTGCCGGCCGTGTCGCTCTGGCCCGACGAGGGCACGGGGAACGCGCCGCCACGGGCGACGACGAGGAGGGAAACTCTCGTTTGCCGGACTTTCTGTTTGGTGGAGTATCGGTCGCGGCTAGCCAGAAGTCTGCAGTGTCTCGGGCGAAGTGATCGTCCTTACGCTGATGTAGATTGGGTGGGTTCGCTGTGGATGTTGCTCTGATGTCCACGTCATTGTGTTTTGCATTAAACGCATCAACTCACTTGCACTCAGCATATTGTGAGTCTATGGGTCTCTGAGTGAGTCTATGGCTTTCTGAGTGAGTCTACTGGTCTCTGAGTGAGTCTATGGTTGTGTGAGTGAGTCTATGGGTCTCTGCGTGAGTCTGTGTCTCTGTGTGAGTCTATGGGTCTCTGTGTGAGTCTATGGGTCTCTGTGTGAGTATATGCGTCTCTGAGTGAGTCTATGGGTCTCTGTGGGAGTCTATGGGTATCTGTGTGAGTCTATAGGTCTCTGAGTGAGTCCATGGGTCTCTGTGTGAGTCTATGTGTCTCTGTGTGAGTCTATGGGTCTCTGAGTGCGTCTATGGGTCTCTGTGTGAGTCTATGGGTCTCTGAGTGAGTCTATGGGTCTCTGAGTGAGTCTATGTGTCTCTGTGTGAGTCTATGTGTCTCTGTGTGAGTCTATGGGTCTCTGTGTGAGTCTGTGTGTCTCTGTGTGAGTGTATGGGTCTCTGTGTGAGTCTATGTGTCTCTGTGTGAGTCTATGGGTCTCTGTGTGAGTCTATGTGTCTCTGTGTGAGTCTGTGTGTCTCTGTGTGAGTCTATGTGTCTCTGTGTGAGTCTATGTGTCTCTGTGTGAGTCTATGTGTCTCTGTGTGAGTCTATGTGTCTCTGTGTGAGTCTATGTGTCTCTGTGTGAGTCTATGTGTCTCTGAGTGAGTCTATGTGTCTCTGAGTGAGTCTATGGGTCTCTGAGTGAGTCTATGTGTCTCTGTGTGAGTCTACGTGTCTCTGTGTGAGTCTATGTGTCTCTGTGTGAGTCTATGGGTCTCTGTGTGAGTCTTACAGATGGGACACTCGTCGCCACTGACGAGCCAGCCCGGGCAGCACACGTACTGCGTGATCTGGACCACGCGGTAGCTGAGCTTTGACGTTGTCCTGCAGATCGCAACGGAGGGCAGAGGGCAAGCAGTTTAACACGTAGGCGGGGGGGGGGCGGGGGGCTTTCGCGACCAATATTATTCATAATGAAGGTGTGTTGGGTTAGATCGCGTGAGTATGAATGTTGTTGTCGTAACCCTCCACCACCCGACACAGACAATTAGTAATGGGTTCGTAGTGCCGTGCGCACACCACTGGACTCAACCCATCATCCTCCCTCCCTGGAGGGGGGGGGTCGATAAAACGAGCTACCACTTTGTGTGAGGAGGAGGAGAAGGAGGAGGGGGGGTAGGGGGCGTTAACGGGGGTTGTGCATACTGGCCCTCGACATAGGAATGTTGAGTTTCCACGAGGAGGAGTGGGGGTCGGTTTCCCCTCCGACCAGCAGACAACTCACACGAGCGCAGCGTTCTTGTAGTAGGAGATGTAGGTCTGGATTTTGCTGATCTTCTCGGAGCAGACTCCCAACCTGTGGAAGAGAGGCGGGGGGTGGGGGGGGCGGGGGGGGGGGCAGGGGGGGGCACGTGATCACATCGTCACACGGGGTGGTGGTGGTGGCGGGGGGGGGGCAGGCCTCGACTTACGAACGGGTTGCGTTTTTGTTGTGTCCCCAAGGTCCCGTTCGTGAGGTTGGACCACGTGTACCCATGTCGGGCAATGCTTCAGGGTACGACAAAGGAAGGGCAAGCCATTGCTAAGGAATGAATGTGCTTCACATTTGCAGGTCACGGCGTGGTGAATGGTCGACGCAAAGTAAGGAGGGAAATGAAAGAGATCGGATTGTTTTCATTTGCTTCGAGTCGTCCTGATGCCGGCTTGCCTGTCGCACGGATGCTGGGACTCATCACGTCTCACGAATACATCGCTTCGCCGAACGGTGAAAATATATTTCTGAGGCTCGGTTCGACATGTGATCGAAGGTTCGTAAGTCGGGCGGTTAAAAGCAGGTGCTGTCGTAAGTGCGGGTTCGTTCGTAAGTGTGGGTTCGTTCGTAAGTGCGGGTTCGTTCGTAAGTGGGGGTGTTCGTAAGTGCGGGTTCGTTCGTAAGTGTGGGTTCGTTCGTAAGTGTGGGTTCGTTCGTAAGTATGGGTTCATTCGTAAGTGCGGGTTCGTTCGTAAGTGGGGGTGTTCGTAAGTGCGGGTTCGTTCGTAAGTGCGGGTTCGTTCGTAAGTGCGGGCGTTCGTAAGTGCGGGTTCGTCCGTAAGTGCGGGCGTTCGTAAGTGGGGGTGTTCGTAAGTGCGGGTTCGTTCGTAAGTGCGGGTTCGTTCGTAAGTGCGGGTTCGTTCGTAAGTGCGGGCGTTCGTAAGTGGGGGTGTTCGTAAGTGCGGGTTCGTTCGTAAATGCGGGTTCGTTCGTAAGTGCGGGTGTTCGTAAGTGCGGGTTCGTTCGTAAGTGCGGGCGTTCGTATCTTGCTGCATGCCAGCATGCAGGGGTGGGTTGGTGAGTGAGCGGTTGGGTGAGTGAGTGCGTAAGTTGGTGAGTGAGCTAGTGGATGTGTGTGTGTGAGTGAGTTAGCAAGTGGGTGAGTGGGTGGGCGGATGAATGAGTCGGTGAGTGGATATTTGTGTAAATGAGTTAGCGAGTGGGTGGGTGAGTGAATGGATCGATGGGTGGATGAGTGAGTTTCTGAGTGGGCGAGTGGATATTTGTGTAAGCGAGTTAGCGAGTGGGGGAGTGGGTGGGTGGGTGAGTGGGTGGGTGGGTGAGTAGGTGGGTGGGTGAGCGAGTGGGTGGGCAGATGGGTAAGTAGGTGAGTAGGTGGGTGGGTAAGCGGGTGGGTGGGAGAGTGGGTGAGTAAGTGGGTGGGTGGGTGGATGAGTGAGTGGCTGAGTGAACTAGTGGACACGTGTGTGAGTGAGTTAGCGAGTGGGTGAGTGGGTGGGTGGGTGTGTGAGTTGGTGAGTGGATATTTGTGTAAATGAGTTCACGAGTGGGTGGGTGAGTGAGTGGATCGATGGGTGGATGAGTGAGTTTCTGAGTGAACTAGTGTACACGTGTGTGAACGAGTTAGCGAGTGGGTGAGTGGGTGGGTGGGTGGATGAGTGAGTTGATGAGTTCACGAAGAGGTGGAATATGCGAGAATACGAATGACCTCGTCATCAGTCAGTCGCGGTGAAGAAACAAAAGTAGCCGAGCCCTTTGCTTGCGACCGCCACGCATAGAGAAATATGTGCGTGTGTGTGAAAAAACACACACACATACACACTAAGAGATGTTTTTCTCTCTCTCTTTTGAGAACGCACACACACACATTGTGCGTTAAAGGTTTAAACAAAATCCTCATAAACGCACGGCACGAAAATAGTCCGATTGTCTCTGTGTATGTGTGTGCGTGTGTGTGACTGTCTGTGTGTGTGTCTGTGTGTATCTGTGTGTGTGTCTGTGTGTGTCTGTGTGTGTGTCTGTGTGTGTCTGTGTGTGTGTCTGTGTGTATCTGTGTGTGTGTCTGTGTGTGTGTCTGTGTGTGTGTGTCTGTGTGTGTCTCTGTGTGCGCGCGTGTGTGTCTGTGTGTGCGCGTGTGTGTCTGTGTGTGTGTCTGTGTGTGTCTGTGTGTATCTGTGTGTGCGCGTGTGTGTCTGTGTGTGTGTCTGTGTGTATCTGTGTGTGTCTGTGTGTGTCTGTGTGTGTGTCTGTGTGTGTGTGCACGTGTGTGTCTGTGTGTGTGTTTATGTGTCTCTGTGTGTGTCTGTGTGTGTGTGTCTGTGTGTGCACGTGTGTGTGCGCGTGTGTGTCTGTGTGTGTGTGTTTGTCTCTGTGTGTGTCTCTGTGTGTGTGTGTGTCTGTGTGTGCGCGTGTGTGTCTGTGTGTGCGCGTTTGTCTTTTTTTCCGAAAATATTTTTTTGGGAAATCCGACTGCTCCTCTGGTGGAAAATGAAGCGACATGGGGGGGGGGTGAGGGGGGGAGACTTTCTCTGTTACTTTTGTCTTTGCCCCCCTCCCCCCTTAATTTAAATGCAATTGCACCTGACGATGCAAAAGGTCGGGCGACTTTGAGAGGCGTCACTCCTCCCTCCGCTCGTTCAGGGATTGCCGCGCGGTGCTCTGATCAATGCCGGGGGAAGTCAACGCCGAGTCTCGGAGGATCGATTCATGACGTGGGGCGCCACGGTGGCTACTGTAGGAGATGTTGACCACCTCGCCTGGTCTATGGGAGGCCGTGGGTTCGATACAGAGCCCTGACGACGCCTGCTGCTGCTGTGTTATGTGGAGTCTGCGTCTCTCTCTTTTTAACGATCAGAGGAAACGAGATGATGCTCGGTGTAGTCGGCACTTTGCTTCGTTCATCATTTAGTTTTATTTTGTTTTTTTTCAATGCTTTATGTGCCCCCCCCCCCCCCACCCTTTTTAAATGAAATATTTCACGGATTTCTCTCCCCGTGGCCGCGTGGATTGTTCTCCGGGTCCTCCGATTATCCCCCCCGTCCACATTTAGAATCAACGTCACCACGTGTTTAAGAGTAAATCGGCTGCTTACATAAATCCCCACGTGGTGCTGATAAAAAAATTAACCACTTCCGTTAAGCCGCTATCATTTGTGAAGAATAGCCGCATTGCTCGGTGGGGCCTTACCTGCTAAAACAAAAATAGTCGTAATATTACGGCACTTTTGATGTATTACTGTGAGTATTGTTGTTGTTGTTGTTATGAATGCTCGCCCCCAGGAAATCCTCACTTAGGTACAAAAAAACGCCACGTGGTCGCTGAGGAAATCTTCACTTCGACTCGCTGGCAAAGAGGGGTCGTGCCGAAGGCTTCTCACTGGCGGCGCGGTGCGTAAATATTAGTAGCACATACAAGCACACACATTCAGACGCTGTCGCCTCGACAGACCTGGTCTTCACCTGAGGACGGCTGCTTGCGTTGTGGCCGAAACGTCGTGAGAATTATTTTATTATGTTTTATTTTTATTATTTTATTACTTCCCTTCTACGTGACTTTACCGAAAGAACCAAGAAGATACAAGCACACAGTTTGACTTGAAACTTTCGGTAAAGTGACGTAGATAAAAAATATATAATATAATTAAAAATAAAAATAAAGTGATTCAAAACATCACGGCGTTTCGATCGCAACACATAAATGTTCCTTTTTGTATGTTTATAAATGTTATTTAATATAGATACATTCATAAATGTTCCTTTATACATGTTCCTGATGACGACCGCTTGTGTTGTGATCGAAACGTGATATTTTTCATCACTTTATTTTTATTTTATTTTTTTATTATTTTCTACCTACGTGATTTTACCGAACGAAATATGAGCCTAACATTAATATTTATAAATAGAACTAAATATATAAATACATCTTTACATCTATGTGTATATTTTGATATATGTATGTTTAATATATTTATTTACACGCATACATATACAGATATAAATATTTATTTATGAATATATCGATATAAATGCTTATTTCATTAAATTCAGAAATTAATACATATTTAAAAATATATTTAAATATATTGATTAATGTATTTATCAATAATTATATATTTCTTTATAAATATTTTTTTTACATATACATCTATACTTTAATATATAAATAGATTGATATTTAAATACATATTGTTATATGTGTGTGTGTAACATTTGCACCGAGGTGTCCAGAACATTCGCCGGATATTTTAAATTAAGAAGCGAGGAGGCGCCTGTCCTGTTATTATTTATATCCCCCCCCCCCCGCGCTATTCACTTTCATGACTTAGTTAACAATTACCCGTTATTACCCTTCATTGTTTTTGACCACGGCATTCTGTTATTTTTTTTATCTTAATTACTTATTATCATTTATTGTTCTTCATCATTTATTCCTAAATGATTTATCGCTCAAAATTTGTGTCATTATTTTTATTTATATGATTATTATTATTGGACTAACTAAAAAAACAAACCCCCATCTGTCTAACAGCGGGGGACACGGACTCCCCCCCCCCCTCCCATGATCGTGCGTTACCTTTTAATCTAAATCTTAATTTTAATTTTCGATTTAAAGCTTTCGTGACTGCAGGGATTCATCTTCTTGGTTCTTTCGGTAAAGTCACGTAGAAGGGAAATAATAAAATAATTAAAATAAGAGAGAGAAAGAGACACAGAGAGAGAGAGAGCTTTCACTCAAAACGACTGGCGTGGTTTGTAGGGAGCGGTGTTGAGTCTATGGGCAGTGTTGAGTATATGGGCAGTGTTGAGTCTATGGGTAGTGTTGAGTCTATGGGTAGTGTTGAGTCTATGGGTAGTGTTGAGTATATGGGCAGTGTTGAGTCTATGGGTAGTGTTGAGTCTATGGGTAGTGTTGAGTCTATGGGTAGTGTTGAGTATATGGGCAGTGTTGAGTCTATGGGTAGTGTTGAGTATATGGGCAGTGTTGAGTATATGGGCAGTGTTGAGTCTATGGGTAGTGTTGAGTCTATGGGCAGTGTTGAGTCTATGGGTAGTGTTGAGTCTATGGGTAGTGTTGAGTCTATGGGTAGTGCTGAGTCTATGGGCAGTGTTGAGTCTATGGGCAGTGTTGAGTCTATGGGCAGTGTTGAGTCTATGGGTAGTGCTGAGTCTATGGGTAGTGCTGTGTCTATGGGCAGTATTGAATCTATGGGCAGTGTTGAGTCTATGGGCAGTGTTGAGTCTATGGGCAGTGTTGAGTCTATGGGTAGTGCTGAGTCTATGGGCAGTGTTGAATCTATGGGCAGTGTTGAGTCTATGAGCAGTGTTGAGTATATGGGCAGTGTTGAGTCTATGGGCAGTGTTGAGTATATGGGCAGTGTTGAGTATATGGGCAGTGTTGAGTATATGGGCAGTGTTGAGTCTATGGTGCAGTGTTGAGTCTATGAGCAGTGTTGAGTATATGGGCAGTGTTGAGTCTATGGGCAGTGTTGAGTATATGGGCAGTGTTGAGTATATGGGCAGTGTTGAGTATATGGGCAGTGTTGAGTCTATGGGCAGTGTTGAGTCTATGAGCAGTGTTGAGTATATGGGCAGTGTTGAGTCTATGGGTAGTGCTGAGTCTATGGGCAGTGTTGAGTATATGGGCAGTGTTGAGTATATGGGCAGTGTTGAGTCTATGGGTAGTGCTGAGTCTATGGGCAGTGTTGAGTCTATGGGCAGTGTTGAGTATATGGGCAGTGTTGAGTATATGGGCAGTGTTGAGTCTATGGGTAGTGCTTTGTCTATGGGCAGTGTTGAGTATACGGGTAGTGTTGAGTCTATGGGTAGTGCTGAGTCTATGGGCAGTGTTGAGTCTATGGGCAGTGTTGAGTATATGGGCAGTGTTGAATCTATGGGCAGTGTTGAGTCTATGGGCAGTGTTGAGTATATGGGCAGTGTTGAGTCTATGGGTAGTGCTGAGTCTATGGGCAGTGTTGAGTCTATGGGTAGTGCTGTGTCTATGGGCAGTATTGAATATATGGGCAGTGTTGAGTCTATGGGCAGTGCTGAGTCTATGGGCAGTGTTGAGTCTATGGGCGGTGTTGAATCTATGGGCAGTGTTGAGTCTATGGGCAGTGTTGAGTATATGGGCAGTGTTGAGTCTATGGGTAGTGCTGAGTCTATGGGCAGTGTTGAGTCTATGGGTAGTGCTGTGTCTATGGGCAGTATTGAATCTATGGGCAGTGTTGAGTCTATGGGCAGTGTTGAGTCTATGGGTAGTGCTGTGTCTATGGGCAGTGTTGAGTCTATGGGCAGTGTTGAGTCTATGGGTAGTGTTGAGTCTATGGTGCAGTGTTGAGTCAATGGGTGGCAGTGTTGAGTCTATGGGTGGCAGTGTTGAGTCTATGGGTAGTGCTGTGTCTATGGGCAGTGTTGAGTCTATGGGTAGTGCTGTGTCTATGGGCAGTGTTGGGTCTATGGGCAGTGTTGAGTCTATGGTGCAGTGTTGAGTCTATGAGTGGCAGTGTTGAGTCTGAGTCTATGAGTGGCAGTGTTGAATCTATGGGTGGCAGTGTTGAGTCTATGAGTGGCAGTGTTGAGTCTATGAGTGGCAGTGTTGAGTCTATGGGTGGCAGTGTTGAGTCTATGGTGTTGAGTCTATGGGTGGCAGTGTTGAGTGTGTAGTGTTGAGTCTATGGTGTTGAGTGTGGACTGTGCGGTGTGGAAGAGGACACGAGGTGGTGGACGCGCCACTCACCCATCAGGTCGGAGTTGGCCTTCTGTCGGCCTGCGGAGGGACAACAACAACAACAACGACGACAATTAGAGTCAGAATTTGTGTTTATGCAACAAAATCCTATGAGCTGTGAAGCTCTTCAATTCACAGATGTCCAGCAATCCAATGCCTTCGACAATCACATTTCTTATGATCACTGTTACATTGATTTCACAGCATTATTTTAGTAATTTCTAGAAAGGTTCAGTTTAGCCCGATTTTTTAATGTAGTATAGAGTTATACTTAAAATTTTAATCTAAATTGTATTAAGATTGTTATTGTGATTTAACATCAAAATGGGATTTTTTTTGCACATTTTTGTATGCAGCATAACAAATGGTGCTTTTTCTGGAAGATTGTATTGTTTGTCTAGCGGATGTTTAAATTTGCGTACAGTAAATTTTAAATGTATCTTGTGATTTTATTGCTTGTTGCGGTTGCACCCGAATCAAGAGGCGAATGACTCACAGGGTTATTCCAAATAAATTAAACTGAAACTGTAACACCTCCGAGAACAGGAGGGACCTCTCCGTTATACTAGCAAATCGCCTGATGGTGAATCGTCACGGCTACTCGAATGTGTAAATGTTGTAGAGGGTTTACTCCCCAACACACAACCTGTTAGTGCTGTACTAGTATACTACACTATACACTACACTATACACTACTATACACTACACTACAATTGTAAATGTTGTAGTGGGTTTACTCTCCAACACACAACCTGTTAGTGCTGTACTAGTATACTACACTATACACTACACTATACATTCCAATATACACTACACTATACACTACTATACACTACACTATACACTACTATACATTACACTATACACTACACTACAATTGTAAATGTTGTAGTGGGTTTACTCTCCAACACACAACCGGTTAGTGCTGTACTAGTACACTACACTATACACTACACTATACACTACACTATACACTACTATACACTACACTATACACTACACTATACACTACACTATACACTACACTATACACTACTATACACTACACTATACACTACACTATACACTAAACACTACACTATACACTACACTATACACTACTATACACTACACTATACACTACACTATACACTACACTATACACTACTATACACTACTATACACTACACTATACACTACACTATACACTACACTATACACTACTATACACTACACTATACACTACACTATACACTACACTATACACTACACTACACACTACACTATACACTACACTATACACTACACTACACACTACACTATACTATACACTACACTATACACTACACTATACACTACACTATACACTACACTACACTATACACTACACTATACACTACACTATACACTACTATACACTACACTATACACTACACTATACACTACACTATACACTACACTACACATTACACTATACACTACACTATACACTACACTACACATTACACTATACACTACACTATACACTACACTATACACTACTATACACTACACTATACACTACACTACACACTACACTATACACTACATACAACACCACGTGCAGAAGCAAAGGGGGAGATGTTTCGGGTTACTTACGTCGCAATACAGAGCACTGCCAACGCCACGGCCAGGACTAACGTTGATCTCCCCATCGTTGTCATCTTCGGGTCTAGCTGCGTCGAATGAACGAAGTGGTGGTGGTGGTGATGTCCGTGTCTGTTGCGAGCGTGGTGTGTCTGGTTGTGCGTGCACTGCCTCGTCTTGAGTGAGCCGAGATCGGGACTTGTGCCCGTGTTGAGCACTGCTGCGGATGATTGCGTGCTGAGGTCGGACAGCGGAGCTGTGCGCGTGAGCTGTCCGTTCCGTGGGTTGAGACATCACGGCTCAGGTAGGCAGCTTTTATGTCCGGCGGAGACAATGGGGGGGGGATGTGCGTCAGGGTGTGGTGGGCGCGCGTGCATTTGTGTGGGTGGCTGTGTGCGCGCGTGCGTGTGTGCGTGCATGCGTGTGTGTGTGCATGCGTGTGTGTGTGTGTGCGTGTGTGTGTGCGTGTGTGTGTGCGTGTGCATTTGTGTGGGTGGCTGTGTGCGCGCGTGCGTGCCTGTGTGTGCGTGTGTGTGTGTCTGTGCGTGTGCGTGCCTGTGTGCGTGTGTGTGTGTGCATGTGTGTGTGCGTGTGTGTGCGTGTGTGTGTGCATGTGTGTGTGTGCATGTGTGTGTGCGTGTGTGTGCGTGTGTGTGCCTGTGTGTGTGTGCGTGTGCATGTGTGTGTGCGTGTGTGTGCGTGTGTGTGCCTATGTGTGCGTGTGTGCCTGTGTGTGTGTGAGGAACAACGCTCACAACAACGAGCGGAGCGCCGGGTGGCTAAAGCACAGCAAGTTGGCACAGTAGGGGGCACAGGTGGTGCATCAGCCAGTCATCTCAGTCATATCAGTCAGTCGACCCGTGGCACCTGCTGGGTCTGCCCCGTGACCTCCTGCCAGCGGGCGTTCGACACTTCACGTGGCCTCAAGGTGCACTTGGCCTGGCACAAGCGTCGTGGTGACGTCACCGCCACTTAATGGCGAATGGCGGTTGTTGTTGTTATGTGTGTGTGTGTGCGTGTCTGTGTGTGTGTGTGTGCGTGTCTGTGTGTGTGTGTCTGTGTGTGTGTCTGTGTGTGTGTCTGTGTGTGTGTGTCTGTGTGTGTGTGTATTGGTGTGTGTGCGTGTCCGTGCGTGAAAACAAAGGCGACCTGGCGTGCTGCTGGCCACACACCCACACGCCCACACGGTCTGTTCAGCCTATACCGATGATCTTTGTCTTTATCTTTGTGATTGTGTGTGATTGTGTGTGTGTGTGCCTGTGTGTGTGTGCCTCTCGCTACGCACGGACACCCTCAAGGCAGACAAAAGAGTCGAACAGAGAATCGCTGCGTCTGTGAGGCTGCGTGCCGATAGGCGGACCAGGAAAAGCGCTGCTCGCGAAACGAGATCTATTCGTGAGCGCTATTGTCCAGCGAGGCGTGCGCGTGTGTGAAGTCACTTGAAATGACAAAACGCAAACAAAGAATCTTCCGTTTGGCCTTAACAGGCAGCAGCGTTCTGTTAGCGAGCAATCTTTGAATGCGCGCCCGACCGCCTTTGTCTCCCCAGTGACAACGTGTATAGCACACCGCACCAGGTACTCATTTGAGGCTGAGTCGACCAAGGGGAGGCACACATACAAAGACAAAGTTCCCCCGTACAGCCTGTGACAGACTGGGGCAAGTGCTGTTAGCGAGTAGCACTAATGAAGGCCGGCACGGCACACGAGGGGTGGGTGGCCAGCACCACGCCCGGCCGCCTTTGTCTCCCCATTGACGGCGTTTACAGCTCACCGCATCAGGTACTCATTTGAGGCTGAGTCGACCTAGGGGGACAAGAGGCCCAGGACCGGTTCAGATGAATCGTCAGCGGTGGTTTTGGCGTTGGCCGTGAGCGGGAATCGAACTCCGTCACTCCGCTCCGTCTGTCCGACCTTCGGTGACTTCCCGGGAGCACCCGAGGTCATGAATCGTCCCGGCAATTGCAGGTGCTGCGCCTCAATCTCTCGCCGCGCGTGCTCCCTTCAATGGGTCCTGTCCACCCCGTGGCATTTGGGGGGTGGTGGTGGTGTTGGTGAGGATGGGGCGATGTGGTCACGCACAGCTGATATGCCGGCAGCAGCAGCAGCGGCGGCAGCGGCATCATCATCATCAGCGCCCATTCAGTCGGGGCGTGACGCGCTCTCAAATGTTTTGCATCCTTCACAATTAGGGAGTCACGCGCGCTCAGACAAAGACAAAGATCCCCCGTGCGGCCTTCACAGACTGCTGGGGCAAGTGCACGCGTGAAGGCCGGCACGGCGCACGAGGGGGTGGGTGGCCAACCACCACGCCCGGCCGCCTTTGTCTCCCCAGTTGGCGATGTTTATGCACAACCGCTCCACGTACTCGTTTGAGGCTGAGTCGACCTAGGGGAGGAGGCCCAGGACCGATTCTGATCATCGTCACTGGTGGTGTTGGTGGCCGTGAGCGGGAATCGAACTCGGGTCGCGCGTTTCGTCACGCTAACCGCTGCACCACCGCTCCCCACACACAGACCCACAAAGACAAAGATCCCCCGTGTAGCCTGTAACAGGCTGTTGGGGCAAGTGCTGTTCGTAGCAGCAGCAGCAGCAGCTTGTGAAGGCCGGCACTGTGACGCACACGAAGGGGGCGGTGGGGTGGGGGGCGTGTTGCAAGCACCACGCCCGACCGCCTTTGTCTCCCTAATGGCAATGACGCACACAGAGACAAAGACCCCCCGTGTAGCCTGTAGCAGGCAGTTTGGGCAAGTGCTGTTCGTAGTGGCGAGTGGCAGGAACCCCCTACGAAGGCGGGCAGTGTGATGCACAAGAAGGGGGTGGGGGTGGCAGAGGTGTGGACTCGAGTCATGTGACTTGGACTCGAGTCAGACTCGAGTCATGAATTTGATGACTTCAGACTCGACTTGGACTTGCATAACAATGACTTTGTCCCACCTCTGGGGGGTGGGGGGTGGGGGGGTGGGGGTCAGTAACCCCGCCCGCACACCCGCATGCCCGCACGCCCGACCGCCTTTGTCTCCCCGTGGCTCTGACGCACGCGTCACGCAGAGCACGCGTCGTCGTCGTAATAAAAATGTTCACGTGTGAAGCTCCCCTTGAATCGAGCGTTGCCCACGGAAAGGCGGAAATAGTTGAACATGAACCCGGGGAAGGAGAGACGCGGGCAAGACGTTCGAAAACAACTCAAAAGAGAGTGAGAAATACATTTGAAACGGATGTGGTTCTGAGATTAGAAGATCCGTGAGTGTCTCGGAAGGCCCCTGACCTCGACGAGTTCACGGAGCGGCCGAGTTTAAGTGCCGCAAAGCCACCCCCCCCCCCCCTCCAGCTGTGAGGGCTCGAGACCGCGGTGACGGTGAGCGCCGCACACTCCGAGGGCCTCGATGGTACTCTTAGTTATTTCGTTAAAGTCACGTAGGTAAAAAAAATGAAATTAAAATTAATAAAAATAAAACAATAAAATCACGACGTTTCGGAGGCAACACAAGTCTCCGTCATCAGGTGGGACCGTCACAGCCAGATTTGCTGCATCATTTTTTACCTACGTGACTTTACCGAAAGAACTAACAGTATGAATCCTTGCAGTCACGAAAGCCTCAAATCTGGCCTCAATGATACCCCGTGGAATATTCGTGGCCGAAGGGAGGTCACGGATAGTCGGGGAGAAGCAAGTCCGTTTTAAGGCCTTGAATAGCATGGGTGGAAAAAACCCGATTTTTCCAGCGGCAGGCATCGGGTTTTTTCTTTAATATAATTAAACCCGAATTCGAGGAATTAAAACCTGGTGTTATGAATATTCTTAGTTTTTTTCTTCACCTTACCATATGAATAAAAAGTGTGCTGTACTTGGCCCTTCCCCCCTCTCCAACCATTATAGAAACGGAGTGGTAGCTCCTGCATTCTCTCATTCACTTGATACAGCTGTCGTGGCTGTGACGGTTCCACCTGAAGACGGAAGCTTGTGTTGCCTGCGAAACGTCGTGATTTTTATTTTATTTTACTTTTATTAATTGTAATGTTTTTACCTACGTGACTTTACCAAAAAAACCTAAGAATATGAATCCTTGCAGTCACGAAAGCTTCAAATCTAGAATGGTGTTATGAATACGAAACTCTGACCCAAGGCTTAGGCTGCTTCCTCGTCGGTGCTGCTATCGTACTCGGGGGGGGGGGGGGGGCGTCGGGCACGGGGTAGTCGTAGAATGCGGCGGGCAGGTTGGTCTTGATGAACACGAGCTTCTCCTCCACACTCGTGGGCACCGCCAGTGAGTTCCTTAGCTTGGAATGGATGAAGCTCATCGTTGAGAATTTGGCGAAGTGCGGTTCTGCAATTAGAACCAATTAAGCCGGATTTCTCCCAATCTCAGATGATCGGGTTTAATAAAAAAAGACAACTAAACCCGATTGTAAAAAAAACCCGACTGTGCCACCCTTGTTGAATAGCAGCAAGAGAATCTAAAAATCAATCACGGGGGTACGGACAGAGAGTCAGTGGAGGGAACAGGAGCGCGGCCGTGATGGGAGCCTTGAAGGGTGTTGTGCCAGTTAGCGCCGTGTAGGCCGCATTTTGAACAAACTGCAGCCTGATAATTGTTTTTTTAACCCTTCTATCTGGCAACAAAACTGACACCTTTTTTACAAGGAGTCATGTTTGCATAGACCACAATACCTGCAGTCATAATGCAAACAAAAAACATAACTCTGATAATGTGCACATTATCAGAGTTATGTTTTTGACTCCTTGTAAAAAAGGTGTCAGTTTTGTTGCCAGATAGAAGGGTAAAAAACCAATTATCATATTTTTACTGGCAAATGAGGTTCCAATGGTGTAAACTGAAGCCTGTTCTTGGTTCTTTCGGTAAAGTTACGTAGAAGGGAAATAATAAAATAATAAAATAATAAAAAATTTACAATAATAAAATAAATTCTCACGACGTTTCGGCCACAACGCAAGCAGCCGTCCTCAGGTGAAGAAACACAGAGCTGTCGGAAAGACAGCGTCTAAATCTCATTAATCTCATTCAGACGCTGTCTTTCCGACATCCCTGTTCTTCATCTGAGGATGGCTGCTTGCGTTGTGGCCGAAACGTCGTGAGAATCTTATTTTATTATGTTTTATTTTTATTATTTTATTATTTCCCTTCTAGGTGACTTTACCGAATGAACCAAGCATATGAATCCCTGCAGTCACGAAAGCTTTACATCGAAATTTAAACTGCAGCCTGTTGGGAGCTTGCTCGGGGGTTCTAAAACGCAGGGCAGTTGTGGAACTCA